CACTAATATTCCCCTAAAGTCCTTTATCAGACGCATGAGCTAGTCCTTGGCCCACTGCAGTTACAACAGGTTTCAAATCTCTGCCTGGTAGGTTTGTGAGAGCAGCTGTGAACTGGCTAGGAGCAGGCGAGCTGGCAGGAAGTGTCATGAGACCTGCCCCAAAGCTTGCACTGTGCCCATGTCCCATATTCTATGTACAGGAGTGGTCCTAGCAGGCAGAAACATCTTACAAACTCGTGTCAAAACACTTCTTATTCCTCTGAACAGTCCACCCCTTAATGTTATTCTGGATAATAAAGTGAAGCAGAATGCTCAGTTGATATTTACAAATAAATAGGTATTGTCTTGGTAAGATTTTTCAGGTAAGGCAGATGGCTCCTTGAAGTTCATATGTGTAAGAATGAAAGGATTTTTAAAAAAGTCTATTCACAATGTTCAGTTTATCTGCATGGAGATAAAAGTCTTTCAAAAAATGAGGCATCTCAGGCTGACTTTTATTTTTGAACCTGTTGCAGTACTATACTGCAAAGGATAAGGCAGATACCTGGTCTAGTTGCATGTTCAGTCTTACCTCACTCTGCTGGTTAAAGTAGTTTCTTCTTGTTGCTTAAGAGAAACTACATCTTTTAAGTCTATGTTAATACTCCAAGGTTTTCAAAACACTAAACAAGCCTGGCATTTGCAGGCTGGTAGTATGTTTTGCATAATATCAATAGCTTATCTTTGTGGCCCCTGGGAAAAAGAAACCCTTTTCTTCTTTGTGTTGCATTCATATGGGTCCTTTGACCAAGATGTTTGCAAGTGGAAATGCTTTTTGTCTTTTGGGATATTAATTCCAGCAGGCCAGGTGTTTTGGTGAAGCTTCCCCTGTGCATCTAGCCAAAATGGTTTTGCAAAACCTACATGAATTTTAGTGGATGAGTCAGTTGTATATTTTGTAATTTTATGGAATATATTCAATCAGATGCAAGAAATGCTGTTTGATCTCTTTGGATGGTTAAATTATGATTTCTGTTAACACTGCTTTAGTTTGGTGCACTGTTTCCTAGTCAATTGAGGATGAATTTGGACAGAGGAGCTGGCAAGGCTGTGGTATTTACATAATGCCTTTTTTTTCTGTGAACCCTGAATGTGGATGGAAACACTCTCTAATCTTCTTAGTGATCTAAGCAAAGATTGAATGCTTTGGGTCAAGCTGGGGTTTTGATAGGCTCAGAGGAAAAAAATACATAAAAATCCCAGCTCTTCACAGTGATTACAAATGGCAGTACTTACAGACTGAGCTAGTTAATGTTTCAATAGTTGATAATATATTTTTGGTATTTCACCAGTTTACAAAGACCAAATCATTTGTTTTCAGCTATACTTTTTGAGACTTCTTGGAAATAGAACAAACAGCCCTTGTGTTAAGTTCTTGGTACTGTTTGCATTCATTCGCCTTCGGGTAGTTCTGAGTTTTATCATGAAGGATGAAAAGGCAGTGTCAGAATAACCAGCATACAGAGTCATCATCTCCTCCACGAACTCTGAATGGCTGGAAAAGACTGCAGAGCTGATCTTAAACCTTCTTGCACTACAACTGCTACGACATGGTAATAAGAGGAGGATTTCATTAGGTGGCTGTCCTTTTGTATCACAATTATGAAAACATTCTGACTGTGCTTTTTGTGGTGTGCTATAGTAATGCAGATTTTCAAATGCTGCTGTCATAATATTGAAGATGTGATTTTGGTTTTTAAGTGGATAAATGTCCTGACTCAGAAGTGACATTTCATTCTTGGTTTGCCTTGCCCAACTAGAATTTGCAGTATTTTTTCATGCAGAAGTTACTGCTTGTCAGGCGCTCTGAACAACATGCAAGAACAGTGTTTAACAATGAAGGGCAGAAATACAATCTGTCTGTTGTATTTGCATTTTCCTTCTTTTTGAGGCTTACCTTCCCCAACCCAAAAATTTATACTAAGTCACTTGACTTAATGTTACCACAAAGGGTTTTTGTAGGTAATGCATCTTCATATAATTTAAAATCTCTCAGAGACTGATTTTTCAGAACATGAAAGCTAGTAGGAGCTGCTTGCCCTCTTTTAATATCTGCAGCCTGAGGTTTGCAAACTAAATGGTTAACTTTTTATGTGGTTGCTTTTGTAACTACGTTCAGCAGCAGGTATTTAAATTTTTTTGGCTTTACCTCATGTTCAATAATAGAATCAAGGTTATATCCATCCCCTGCTCGAACTTGCCAGTGCTGCACTTTATTAACTTTCTCAGTATTTGATGCAAATTGTTTCTAATTAACATGTTCTAAATGAAGGGAGAAAAAAGCATTCTTAAAATCTGTGTGTGATCTGTAGAATAATAAAATCTTATTGTCAGCTGTGAAAACTTGTACCATTTTATGATCTTTTTGAAATTGCCATTGCTGTTATTCTTGCTGTTATTCTTACTGTTATTCTTGTAAGTCATGCATTTTAGAATTAAACCCTTTTTTATCAGTACTATAATTAATAACAAGTAATAGCTCACTGAAAACGTACAGTGGCAGGTATGGACAGGATTAGTTGTTGAGAGAAAGGAACACAAATTAACCATACTCAGAATTTGGTCTTTTAAATGTTCTGCCTTTCTCACAAAGTCAAGGGAAATATTTAATTGTATTTAATATTCAATTTAATTTCTATCTTTGTGTGTGTTTTCACATGTGTGTGCAGTACATGTTAGAGGTGCATCTGTTTCGGTATTTCTCCCATTACCAGCAAAGAAGATGGTATGACTTGTTGAAAAGGAAACAAAGGAAAGGAAAAAAGGGGGGGGGGGGGGGGGGGTCAGAAAGGGAAAAAAAAAAAAGTTGGGATGTTTTTTATGTCAACAATGTCCTTCTGATTATCCAGAAATAAATTTGAAGAGTTTAAGAAGATTTTGGCCATCATCGTAAGCCAGTGTAAAATTTGAAAGGGAGGGATCAAGGGCAGTTTTGTGAACATGTCTGCCTTGTGTTCCCTGTATCTAAGGAAAGTGTATAGGGAAGAAGGAAACACACACACATATGTAAACTTTACTCATATTTATCCAATTTTTATGTCAAAAATCAGGTATATATATGTGTACAATAATCATAGCATGATATTGAAGGATTCTAAATTGTGCTTGTAAAAATTTATCAAAGACATTGACCAAATCTGACCACTGAACTCTGTATTGTTGTACTAATTGGAAGAAATAAAAGATCACAAGGGCCCTATGGCCTTGAAAAGCAACCTGTCATTGAGATTGAGCTAATCTAAATCTAACTGCAACCAAAAGCAATTGTTCAGGCCTTCCTCCCTTTTCCCTACTCCAGCATTTGCTCACTTTTGCCTGCACTGCTACGTGTGTGTCCATGCCATTAAGAATAATTATCTCCTGCTCCGTTTCTTGCATGTTGTTAATTTTTGTTCGGGTGAGTAATCTTCTCTGAGTTAGGGCATGAACTCTGGTGCTAGCATAAGGGCATCACTGGCTGCATACAGCTGGAGGCCATAGGACCACACCTTTTAGTGGCAGTATGGATTTAAGTCAAATTGAAAGCAAATGGAAAAGCAGCCCATGCATTGTGCCCCTTGTAACCACAGTGTTTGCTGTAGTAACAGGAGAGATTTAGACAAATATGCCACTGGGCTAATTAAGGGCTCTTCTCCTAAAGAGGCTTTTGTCTCAAGCTTTAGTTCTGGAGATGTGAATGTAGCCACCTTCTGCCTTGGGTTTTCCCTTGTACTTAGTTTTAGCTCAATAGCTATAAATACAACTATATATGTAATAGATACTCTAAAACCACCCTAACAAGACAAATTTTAAGGCCTTGGTTAAGATTTTGATATATTTTAATATAAACACCAGTATGATTTATGATACGGGTGCTCTAGTTTTGACTTTTGAGGGGTTTTTATTTAGGGAACAAATTATACATGTTATTTTGTTCTGTCTATTTCCAGCCAAGATTTTCATGACAAATACTGGTAATGGATTTCACTTTTGGGAAATAGATATTACAACTATTAGTGTCAGTGCTGAGCTATTCTACAATGGCAGAAGCTGGATGTTCATCTTCCTGAAGCTGGATGTTTCTCATTCAGGTTCTTTGAACTATAAAGGCTGGTTTCAGTGAAACTTCCCTTGTGGAAATGGGAGCCACATGATTTACACTAAAAGCAATGCTGGACTGACTGCTTAACAGTAGTTGTGAATGATTATTAGTGATTTGAGTAGCTTTTCAGAGTTTTGCAGGTTCAGCATGTATAAAAACATCTATCAGTGCTTCTTTATATCAGCTGTGCCTGTGTCTGGAAATGCTCATGAATGTCTGAGGTGAAGCAGCAAGCCTGCACTTCAACCAGTCTTGCTGATTTTAAAAATCTTTGTACTGCTTGAAATAAATTAAACCAGAGTTTCAGCTTGACAATTACACTTCATTTTTTTCCTCGCTTCTCCTTCCATCCTGTCATAAATTGGCTGGGATGCAGTCCTCTTAGATATTCACAGGATGCTGAACAAAATTTACTGTTTAATCTGGTTTGGATTAAGAGTATTTTCTCAAAATTTGAACCTGCAGGATTGCTTTTTTCCCTTTCACAAGTATTTCATCTTTCTGTGGGGCTCTGGGGCTTTTTTTGTTTGGTTGTGGTTTTTGGTTGGTTGTTTTTTGTGGGTTTGTTTGTTTGGGGGTTTTTTTGAGGGTTTTGTTTGTTTGGGGATTTTTTAATGAAAAGGCATTGCCTTGGTTTTCAGAGTTTTCCAGGATGTGGTCAGTGAATCCCCTCACTGTCCTTATTGAACTTTTCTCATAAAACAAATGGGAGCAGAAGGTTTGGGAAATACACCACCATTTCTGCCTGAACTTAAATGACTCATGGATTTTTGTACCCTAAATATTCTGTTGAACTCACTGTCACGTTTTCTGATGCTCTGTAGCATTAATGAAAGCAATGGGGCATTGTTTTGATATTGCTATTTATTTTTGTCTTCAGCTGTGTGCTGCCCACCTGCCGACACGATCAGAGGCGCCAAACCACTATCAAGCAGTATGTCGGGCTCTGTTTGCTGAAACAATGGAACTGTACACTTTCTTGGCCAAAATTAAAAGTGCAAAAGAGGTAAGCAGTGTGAGAAGGTTTTCTGCTTTTGAGCTCATTACTGTGTGAATTAGGCTTACAAAATTACTTCTGTACCCAGCCGGTAGTGAATGTCAGATTCTTGAGGAAATGGTCTGTAGTGTTCAAGGAGAGCAGTTCTATAGCCGAGTTTTGTTTGTTTTGTTTTTTCTTTTAGCCTGTAACTATTTATAGATGTCTTGATGTCTTGTAGAAATTATTATTAATTGTGATGTGGGAGTAAACCAAATTTTTGTCTTGGAGGTTTACACGGTGCATACATGCATCCATTCCTGCATGCCTGTATGCAATGCATTTGAGTCTAAAAGCTTCTCTGGTGTTTCAGGGATGTTGTGAAGCATCAGAGCTTTGCCTGTTGTTCCTCAGCTCCTTCTAATACCTTGTCTTTGGCTGTGAATTATCTGAGATTCTTCTTGCTCATATTTTGTCCCAGGTCAGCAGCTTCCCTTAGCTTTGATGATTAGCTTCACATAAGCTTCATAGCAGAGCCAACTTCAAAAAAAGAAGCATTTCCATCTGTAGGTCAAGGTGCTAATGTTCACTGCCTGCTCGGCTGTTAGTGTGCACCGAAAGTCCATCCTATGAACCACTAAAATGAAATAGTCAAGATGAAGAATAGCTTTGAGGGTGGGCAGATGATTTTTAATGAAGATAATTTTGGTGATATGGCCTGCAGGTCTTTATGGCTCCATAAATAATTGGTGAAGGGAAGGGCAGGAGGGGAAGCATGTCTCTTGAAGCTGACTTCTTCACTGAAGCCAAATTGTCACGTAACTACACTGTCCTAATTTTTCTTCTTAATAAAAACCTGAAGGATTTTCTCTTCTTTTGTAAGCCAAGATCTACAGTACCTTTGAAAAGCAGGGTAAGATTTTACAGGCTCATCTAAGAATTTTGCTGCTGAAAGACGCAGAGCTGTTTCACCCATGCACATATGCTCCCACTGTTTTCCTTCGAATGGTTCTAGGAAACAAACACAGAAAATGCCAAAAAACCCAAAGCACTCATTCCTTATCAGGTTAATGAGCTGAATCAACTCTTTAAAGGGTCAGAGCAGCACAAGAAAGCTTTCACCTTCCCACTCATGGTGGAAGTCGCAATACAGTCAGAGGCATGCAAAGGACTGGTGCTGTCTTTCCTTCCTGTTTGGGATGCATCTGTCCAAGGGGGAGAGTCTGTCAGAGATGTTTTTCTGTTCTAGTAGTTCTTGAACACTTTGGCCACAGTAAGTAGTAATAAGGCATCTCTGTTGTCAGTATCAAAGTAAAATACTGTGTTTAATAACCATTTAAAATTAAGCCTTAACATTTTTTTTCATTATTTTAAAAGTAGAGGGGTGTTTTGAAGCTGCAAATTATTTAATCACCTTGTAATTGGATGTAAAAATGCAACAACATCTGATCGCAACATAGAGTATACTATGAGTTAATCCCAAATGAAAGAAACCATTTGCCTTTCAAAGGCTATTAGGGATTGATTCAAAGCACATTTAGGTCAGAGGAAGTAATCCTTGTAGATGGAATTTTGGCCCTACTGAAAGCACTGAAACTTTTATTGCTGCACCTAACCAAGGGCAGAATTTTGACCTTTTGATTTCATTTTACTCTGGATCAGTCCCCAGGTAGGCATGCAAGAAATGATCAAGAAAATTACCTTACAAAGAGCTTCTGGAATATGAATACTTTGGGTTTATGATGTGCTTGATCCTTGCTTATAGCTTTTATGCAACTGTATATTGGGAATGTATTTAATTTTGAAAATAATATCGTGTACAAAGAAAAAAATATGTATGAAGAAAATACAAGGTGGAATGCTGTAAATCTTGTTATACCATTTTAAAATGACCTCTGCAGTTGATACTTGAGGCAAACAGTAATCATATGATCACACTAGGTTCATGCCAGTAAAAGCTGTGGTATTGCTTATATGCTCTTCCCTCTTGCAAATACACAGAAGAACCTTAATTCATGAGGAATATGGTTAAATACTATTCAAGTCAATAAATTTATTTTTCTTTTCCTTTTGTTATTGTCACGTGAGTATTGGGTATAAAGGAGAGAAACACTAATTCAGTAAGAACTTTTTTTGTCATGCATTTGTGTGATAGCACTGGCAGATAACTGAGTTACATACATCAAATCCAGTTGAAAAAAATAATGCCTTATACTGTGTAATATTGTGTCAGTGACACTAAAAAACTATTAGTTTATTTCAAACCTTGACAGCTTTATGTGGAGATCTTCCTTTAGAATCCCTCAGACCTAGACACAGTTATGGAAATATAACAGTTGTGGAAATGAGATCGAAATGAAGTTAAAAACAAAACAAAAATTATTTTAAAATTCCTTGGATTCCTTCTAGGGGCAGTGGATGGCATATGGGTGTCTGTTTCCCAGGTATATGAAATTTCTGTTTCTTGCTCAGTGGGTGCTTAAACAGACAGCTTCTCTGTAGTGGAAGAGAATCTTTATCTGCAGATACTCACCAGCTAGCGGTGGACCAAGTATGACCTATCTTATGCTACAGCCCAGGACAGGTTTAGAAGGGAAATAAACTGTGAAAGAGGCAGAAAAAATATTGCTGTGATGCTGTTTTCAGTTTGGCACTGTAAAAACTTGTCAGGATTTTGAAAGTTGCAGGATTTCATGAGCCATAGATCAGGAGGCAGGAGGGATAAGCCTGTAGAGCTGTAGTATGTATTATTACTTTTATATATACTGAGTAGTCATGTGCTCTCCGGTCTGCTATGTGAACATCACTGTCACATAAAAATGGAGCGTAGATTCAGGAAGGGTTTTACTAGCATGTGTTTGGGTGAGTGTATTAATCAGAAATGATGAAGCAATGAGTGAGCTGCTCAGGTCATCTCAATGGATGTCAAATAAAATGTTTTCGGCAGTTTGTCACAGACTCAATGCCATGTGATTATTTCCAGTCTGACTCCCTGTGTGTGAAAGGTCAGCAGTAAAACTGACTTGCAGACAGGGAGATGTACTTCCATTCTTAAAGAGAATGAAATGTTTAATGTAGTGGATGTGCAGGACAGGACTCAAGCCACAGCTGAGCAAGGTATGGTAATACTATTGCAGTAGTACGAAAAATAGAATAAAAATAGTAAGAACATGTGCTTCTGTGGAATAGCAACAGCAACTCCAAAGGTACGGTTGAAATTCAGGTAACTAGTTTGATCTAACTGTGCATCCTTTAGCAAGATGGAATTTTTCTAGCAAGTTTACTGGCATGTTTTGCAGCCTTCTGGCAGCATCTCTATGCTGCTCAGGCTCTACCATCTGCTGTCATCCAGAAGTGGTCTTTTGATGGGCCAAGACCTCTTCACTCTGTATTCTGCTGTTTAAGCATTTGCAGTTGATGACAAAAATGGAGTACAGCCTGTTTCTCAGCTCAAACAGTGAGCTTTTAAAATTGCAATAGGAAAATTCCACTAAAAGGGGAAGAAATGCATGTATATCTGGTGAAGGGGAAGATAGTTTAAATATCTGAACCTCATGTAAAAGAAAATATTAATCTTTCTTAGGATCATCCATAAGTCATTCAAATCACCTTTTGTGGCATCCAGCCACAGACAGAACTCTAGGCACAAATAAATGATGTCCATGAGATAAAGCAAATGTTCCTGTTGTGGAGTATCTGAAAAGGTCAAACACATTATTGAAAAACATCATCAAGTGTGGCTGGGAGAAACAGGGGCAGACTATGCAAGCATAGAAACACAGAAATTGCTGCTCCAGATTGGACTGGGGATCCCCCTGGTTTAGTATCCACATTGTTTTCTTGAGGAGATATCTGCCCTACTCCTCCTTCAGCTCCCTGTTACTGTCCAGTCTTGCCTTCTACGGAAGTTAGTGCTCCACATGTGCTTCATGTCTGAGTGAGCCAGCAAGGTGTCCTTGTCACAAAGATGCCTTGCGGTGTTAGGGGCTGCACTGGGAGAAATATTGCTAACAGGTTGAGTGAGGTGATCCTTCCTGCCTACTCAGCACTGGTGAGGCCACAGCTGAAATGCTGGGTCCAGTTCTGGGCTCCCCAGTACAAGAGAGATATGAACATACTGGTAAGAGTCCAACAAAGGGTCACAAGGCTGATAAAGGGACTGAAGCATCTCACATATGAGGAAAGGCTGAGAGATTTGGGTCTGTTCATCCTAGAGAAGAGGGTCTCAGGGATTGCACTGAAGTCTAAATACCTGAAAGGCGGGTGCAAGGAAGATGGAGCCAAGCTCTTTTCAGTGGTGCCCAGTGCCAGGACCTGAGGCAATGAGCCCACACTGAAATGCAAGAGGTTCCCTCTGGACATAAGGGAACACTTTTTTACTGTGAGGGTAGCCGAGCACTGGCATGAGTTGCCCTGGAGATGTTCAGAATCTGGCTGGACATGGACCTGGGCAACTGTTTCTGATTGGCCCTGCCTGAGCAGGAAGGCTGGACCAGCTGACCTCCAAAGGTCCCTTCCAACCTCAACCACTCTGTGAGTGGTACTAGTAAATGATGTTGCCAGCCTTTAGCAGTGTAGGCTGTAGGTAATAAACTCCACAACTGGCACAGCTGGTGATAAAAGATGCCGTGTGATGCTGGCCAGTAGGCCGATATATCTTAATCTGCCACAGTAAATTTGACTGCTAAATTTTATAGACATCGTTGTGCAACCTAAAGCATCAAGATTAATATTCCTCCCAAACTAATTAAGACTTTGTATATTTTTATAATTGCCTGTGTCTTCTATTGCACCGAAAGTCCATGTTCATCAAAAACTCATCCATAATTTCATTACTCACAGTGTTCCTTATAATTAAGTTTTTGGTAGAATACAGATAAAGCTTCCAATCTGTCATCGTCGTACTGTTCTTTTAAATCATGTCACCTTTCATTTCTGTTTCTTCTGATGTAAAAACATAATCTTTTCAGTCTGGCTGGATCTATTTCCATCTCATCTGTATGAAAAGATAAATGTACAAATTCGAATTATGTACATGAGTAGAAACAAATCTTCTTCACTACTTTCATGCCATGCAAAGACTCAGTTGGAAAACAGTTAATTACTAAAGTCAAGTGTTCCTTTCCATTTAACATGGCTATATTGGGTATTATTTGTAGAAAATATGATAATAGAGGTAGTTAATAGGTACCTAAACAATGTTAATGGCTAACTTATTTTGGAAACACAGTCACTAGCCAAGTTACTTTTAAGAGTCTTGTGGCTGTAAAAGCTGTTAAATACCCTGCTGCTTGGATTTTCAGAAAGCAGAGCTGCAGAAAGAAATTGATTCACAGATTTTTCTGTTCATAACTTCATAACTTTTGCCTACACTTCTAGGCTTCCAGTAACTCCACTTTTGCAAGTGTGGTGTTGTCAGGCTTGCAGCCCCATCATGATCTGTTTGATTCCTCAGTTTAGGAGCTTTAATAAAGAAAAAGGCTGCTGTTTTGGTTTTGTGAGGGTTTAATTGTTTGGGTTTTTTTTTTTCTTAAGTGATGGCAGGCACTGTCACTCTAGTATTATATGCACTTGATTTGAGAGTTCTTTGCTTCTTTTTAAACAGTTACATTGGGCAGTATGATGATTATTGCAGAGCTGAGCAAAATGCATTAACCTGTACCATGCACTATGTATGAAGAACATTGTCTGATATCCACTCAAGAGGTTTTCAGGGACTGATTTAACTGACCCTATTCCCACGCTTAAATTAAATGAGGCTTGGGTCTTTTCAGAGAACTAGAGTAATACTGCCAAACCCTTGGAATTTAAACCCAAGTTGGATAGCTGAAGATACATAAAAGCAGTATTTCCCCAGTGTGCAGGTTATATACTTTTAATTGAACCTAGGGGTGCAAGAATATTTTATTCGTTTCAAAGCAGCATAAGAACTATGCATCAGCAAATAAATTATTCCTCATTACAAATATAAACTAGGAACTGCAACTGCAGTAGACTGTGTTCTGCAGTTGGGGAAAGATGAAGTGCAGATCTGGATTCCCAAGAATACCATCTTCACAAAAACGTTGCATTTTAGAGAGCATTCTGTAGAAGTGAGTCTTTGATGCTGTGCTGGCAAGTGCCTTACATAAATTCCCATCTGTCACCAAGCAAAGAAGAGCACATCTCAAATGTGGGACACACAGCAGCAGCAAATGAGCTGCTTGCTTTTAATAGTGCAGCAAGGTGTTTGAAGACATTTGGTATTTTTATTACTAGCTTTTGTCACAAAATGCAGGGGGGGAGGGGGTTAAGTGGCTAAATGCTGTAATGGTTTAAAAAAAGCCAAAGCTGTTGAAACAGTCGCTTTTTACACATCCAACCCTTATTTCCTGAACAAACACCCAGGCTGTAATAGGTGAATCTGGTCTGTGGTACAGGTCTGAGGTTCTGGAATCATTTAGAAAAACCGTTTTAAGGTGTTTCTGCTTTCTGAAATGGAAACCCACTTAGGCCATGTATTTATTATACTGTAAGAGCTTTCCTTAAGCCATTGTCCCAGGGGTAGGTACCAATGGCTACAGCAGCTGAGGTTACTTGCAGGTTTTGGATAACAGTTAAGATCTGACAAAGTGTCTATTGTATTTTAAATGTGTTGGTTTCTATAATTTATGATTGAAACAGCTACTGAAACCCACTGATGCTGGCTGAGTGTCCTAGAGAGAAATAGTAATATTTCATTTGTCACAGTGAATTTATCAATTCCTAACTAGCACCTGATGTGTGGACAAAATTACCTCTTGTAAGCCTTCCTAAGCACTGGCTGCAAGGATGGAGCAATTCCTGTTTCTTTTTCTCCCCAGTACTCCAGAGCTTTCTAATTTCTATAATTATGAATATTCCTTTCTTTTCTACTGTTCTCCACTAATGCATGGTGAGCTGCAGTTAGGGACCTGAGCCAGGTGCCAAGGACAGGAATGAACTGTCCCAACAAAGTGGGTGTCTGTGCTGGTATAAGGGCAGCTGCTGGAGCACTCAGCACTAGGATGGGGAGTTAACAGGAGCTCAGGTTTGGCAGTAGCCTGTGCTCATATCAGCTCCTTTGTACCGTAAAACTACACTTTAAGAGACTTCTCTCTTGGCTGGCATGCTTTGCTTTTGCAACTCTCCAGTGCGTGGTAGCCAGCATCACTTACACCTGCGCTTTCTCGGGTAGGAACTCTCCCTCTAGCTATGTTCCAGAGCAGTTAATTAGATGGTTACTTTATTTGGAAGATCTTTCAGCTGCTCAGGGTGCCCCCCACCCCTTCTTGTTTTCTGCTGTTAGGAAAAACATATTGTAATCTTTTTAGCTTCATGGAATATTTATGTCACTCAAAGGATTAGCCTTTGGGCATAAACGAGCCCAGTAAACTGCATGGTAGGGAACATGGTCCCTAACATGGCTAATTGCCACAAATCTACTTGAACAGTCGAAGAATAGATTAAGCAGCTGGAACATGTGAGTTTTTTAAAAATGAATGTGTACCTTCCAGTATGGAAAGGAGGGACAAATCTAGCAGCTGTGAGTTCATTTATTGAAGTTAGCTTTTTGATTACAAAAAGGACAAGGAGAAAAGTACCAGAATGAGTTAATATTTTGCAGTTTATCAATAAATGCTAGCAGTTTGCAAGTAAGCAAGTAGTTTACAGTTCACAGATACTGTATTTGAAATGATTACTGCAACTGTATGATGCACAAAAGACAAAAATCTGGATGGTAAAATACGCATAAGCAAGGGGTTTGTTACTCATTCTTCACATTTTTTTTTTCCCCTCCTTAGAAAAGGGGGATTGCTTGTAAGTGTCAGACTTTCTGCTGACCGCAGCGACAAGACTAAAGCAAGTTTCCATACAGACATTCTTTCCCAATTGGGTATCCCGTGGTGATACTGCAAGTCATGCCAACTTTCCCACATTGTCCCATTATACATTTTGCTTCTGTAGTGTAGGTGATTTGTGTTTTTCTAGAGTCTTCGTGTAAATTATGTATTTTATTTTGACAGGGCAATGGTAGTATTTTTTTCTTCGATATGAAAGTATGTGGCTTAAGTAAGACAACAAATAACACATCTGCTCTCTTTCCAAAACCCCTGTGGTGGCTGACTCACATGTGCTATCTCTGTAACCAGGTTTTTTAGATACGTGCGCTCTGTTAAATGTGCAAGTTAAGCAAAGTTCCAGTGCTTTCATTTCTTCCACTGAAATGCTGGCAGTTTTGGAACTACTTTCAGAGGAAAAAAAATTACAAAATCCTCTTATTTTTAAGTTTTCTGGGGAGCTCAAAAGCTAAATTGAGACTGTGACTGTTCAGTTCCATTAAGAGCTCAAGTGCTTACAAGTGAGAAAAAGCTTTTTGATAAATAAATATATCTGTCAGACCTCTGACCTGTTGCTTTAGTCTGATAAGATAAACAAGTAGTTGCAGAGATTTTATTATCTTTTTTGAATACATTAGTGAGTACTTGGAAAACAGATCAAATTAAATCTTTTTAAAGACTTCCTGGAAAATTCTGTAAAAGTGGAATAGAGTACTGAGAATTTGCACTGTTGATTCCAGAACGTTTAAATACAGAACTAAACCCGAAACCAGCACTTTTGAGTGTAGTTATTTATATGTATAACATAATTTCTACAAAGTATTTTAAAAAGCATCCTTTTTGGAAAAGCCTTTTAAATCTTTCATTTGCATTTATGTATTTGTAGGCTTGTCTGTTCTTTGGTCTACTGTAACTTTTAGTAATTTTTCATGTTGTTGGTGTAACAGCCTTTTTATGCTTTTCCATATTTCCATGGTACGCAGCAGTTTTAACCTTTGAAAGATCTGTTTCTGTTCCTTGCATGATTTTGTTAACCGGATTTCAGAATTTATAACCATGTTATACAGACTACTTAATTTCAATGTGTATGCAAGTCTGTTGCTAATCAGTTTAAAGTGTTTCTCTTAGTTTATTTCTCTCCACAACTAGCTTTGTGGAAATTTCTTCTTTTTTTCTTTTTCAAAAATGAACTGTCTTGAATTCAACAAATAATAGTAATTTTGGGAGGAATGGAATCCTTACCAGGTCAGTAATGTTTCTGTGTTGTAGGTTAACAGACTTACTAGGTGGTTGTTTTTTTTTTCTGTGCATAGCCCAATTTTAGGAATAGTAAAATTTCTATGAACTGTTTTTTTTCTCTGGCTATTATCTGAAGTTCTTTCATATTCAAAATGTTAAGATTTTTTTTCATTTCCTACCATTTCAGGTCCACATTTCAATTAAGAGAAATATATTAAAATAATATTTCACGTTACCTTTACAGCATTACTGTGCAACTCATGAAACAGTTGGTAGAGTACCCAAACAACGTAACAGATGTTAAAAACTAAGCTTCAGTTTTACGTGAGGGTAATGCCACCATTCGTTTATTGGCTCATTTTCTTTTCATTGGCAGAATCTGAAGAAGATTCAAGAAATGGACAAAGAGGCAAGTGATGAATCCAGCACAGATCTTGATGATTTAAAAAATGCTGACTGGGTAAGACAAAAATTGAATAGTGGTTCAGCATCATTACTAGTTGTTTATATTTCTTTGTGATGCTTAACCTAAGTTTGTTTGGTTTATATTAAAATTAGTGTCTGGGCTTTTTTTTAGCATATGAACTAAAAATAACTCATGACAACTTAGAACCAAATGAAGTCTCAACATTCCTTCACAGACAGTTGAAACAATACCAGTATCTAGGCATTACATTTTTTCTTTAGAGTGTTTTCATGGAGAAGCTTTTGCAATTTAAAAAGACTGGACTGGACATTTAGACAGGTATCATGCTGACTGCCCTTCAGAGGGGCAGCCAGGCAGTAGGCAGAACCACCAGCTGAATTTCTCCAATGATGAAAGAAACACGTTACATAGAAATACTTAACAGAAAGTAGCTTGTTTTATTTTCTAGTTCCTATTCTTGCCAGTTCACAGAGGCATATTATGAGGTCCTCAAAAATACTTGATTTCAATCTCTCAGTCTATCCAGTTTTTAATCCTCTCCAGCCATTCTCACTGCCCAGAAAGAGAGAGGGAGGTGTTAGTGTGTGGTGATCCTACAGGCAGAGCAAAAGGAAGTTGAGTACTGAGAGGTTATTGGTAGACCTCAGGATTTGGAATCTTTCTTTCTATAGAATAAAAACTGCTGGGAAATTTTGCAATAAAGTTCTGGGCCTAAGGGAGACAAAGTTTTGGATTCAGTCACTTTTTTAACTGACATAGTATTAGCTGCAAGTCTAGAACCTTCCCTGGGGTCCCTGCAGTGTACTTGAAATGGTAATAGAAATGGTATAGTATGAGAACTTCAAATCCTTTTTCTGTATTATCTTAGAGATGAACATCACTTGAAGTGATGTTCAGTTGCAGTCCTGCTGAGTTGCAGCAAAATTTTGTTACATTCATGAGGGTTAAAAATAGGCTTCTGTAACATAAAATAGGTTTTGTTCGAAGACTTAAAAATAAAATAGTACAGCTCCATATATTTGGTGGTGTCCAAAGTGGAAATGACAACTTCAGTTTAATCTAGGATTGTATCTAAGTGTAAGATATCAAATAAAGTTTCTCCCTCTTTTATCTTCAGGCTCGTTTTTGGGTACAAGTGATGCGAGATTTACGGAATGGTGTTAAACTGAAGAAAGTTCAAGAGCGTCAGTACAACCCACTTCCAATAGAATATCAGCTCACACCCTACGAAATGCTGATGGATGATATTAGATCCAAACGTTATACCTTAAGGAAGGTCATGGTAAGTCAAGATTATGACTAGAATTTGTCAAATCTAAAATGTTTTCTTCCTTTATTCTTTTCTTCTCTTTTTTTCTTGGAACCCGAATTGATGATTTCATGTAGATGTTCATTTCATGTATGTTACTAACTATTCGTGTTTTTTATATGGCATCTTAAATTTATGTAGTACATTGAGGGGGAAAAACATGGAACCAGCAAGTGTTGTGTATTTTGTTTTCCATATGGCAGGCATTTAAAATTCTGGAAAACACACAAACATATCATATGCTTGAACAAATGACTTGTGTTGCGTTTAGGATAACCTTAGGGGTCATATCAAAAGTCCTGTCATGCATTCAATTGAGAGGTTGTTTTAGGCCTTTTTTATTGGGGAGAATGTTCATCTTGAGTTACAAAGTAGTTTTTTTCATTTCAGAATGTAAAGTGCTACCATGTTGTTCATAAGTGATAATGTGGTGGGAAAGAAAAACCTACAGTGGTTGAAAACTTGTATTACCTACTACTTATATTACAGCATTTGAAAACATATGTTACCATGATCCGTTATGAATTTTAAAGGAATATTCTATGTTAAAAAATATAAATCTTCCATTTGTAGAAATAGAGCTTAATTATTTTCAGCATATCCTATTGCTGCTTTCAAGTTAAGACAATATGCCAAAGCAAGCTGGAGAGCATTGATGTATCCTCCTCCAAGATACTCATAAATGTGAAAGTAAGATTGACTTGAGGCACTCTTTTTTACCAGAATCCAAATGATATTTACTGGAGTTCCCCTGTTCTTTCTTTCCTTTTGGTTCATACTGCGTTCAACGTGAAGATGTTCTTCCTTATAAGCTAGCAACTGATCTAAAGGGCTCCCTATCCCTAGTAGGACTTTTTAAACCCCTTTGTCTGAGGCAATTAGTTGGTCAATGTCAATATTTATACCTTGCACTTACTTATCTTTGCGGGTTATTTAGCTACAGTGAAAGTATTGTCTTAGAATATTCAGTGTTCAAATTTATTTGCTTTCCTGACAAAACCTCACACAACCTTTGTTAGTGAGAATGCTGTGAATCCACCAGAAAAATTCAGATATGGGGGTGGGGATGAGAGATGAGAGAGACAGAAAGCATGTTGTTTATTCTCTCAGAGATCATTAGGAAATAGAATAAAGGAGGAAAAAATTGGAGCAACTACATGGGGAGCAAATAAATTAGTTCTGTTACAAATGTAAATGGCTTTTATGTATGAGCTGAAAGAACTTTCCTAATCAAAATCTGGATTTATACTATCAGATTGTATTTATTTTCTGCAGCAGATGTTGCTTAGATGTTAAATCAATAGGGTAAAATACATACCCAGGTAATCATATTATGTCTTTCTGCCAACAATTTGGAGAACTGTGCTAAGTGTTCCTACTACCCAGTGCAAAAAAGGAACAGTCCCCTAAGGACTTTGATTACTGTATGCAGACAGGATAGTAGTTTTATTTGAATGGGAACCCATGGGTCATCCGATTTTGCCTTTGTCAGACTAGACTTTAATTCATCTTCTGCTGAGCAAGCTCCTGCCTCTTCAGAAGAGATTTTCTTCATTATATGGTAGGTCTTGGAGGCACAGCTGCCTCTCTGCTCAGCCAGACTTTTGCTGTATGCAAAATCCCTGCAAGAATCTATTTTTGCCCTGCTATCTCGTCTACTAGGTAGATTGTCCAAAATGACCCCTGGGCATAAACATGAATTGAAATTACAGTCAGCTGCAGGTACAAAACCTATAGGGCTGCCTGTGATGCAATTGCTGACTTCATCTGACAACTTGCTAGCAACACCAAGTTAGAAAAATAACTTTTCTTGTTAAAAATCCTAAATTCAGTAATGTGGCTTCTGCTGCAGGGTCTGCTTGAAGAATGTGCAAAGCATGCACAATAATAACAGTGCAGCTGAATATGACATGTGGAGCCTGAAGGATTCACACAGAATTACAAGTTCAGCTAGATCTCATAAATACAGCATCTTTGACTGTCATCGATCAAGGCTGATTATAGGTACTCCTATCAGAGAAAACTGTTGTGGTTCTTGAGAAGAGGAGAAAAGGACAAATAATCCTAAATCAGAATTTGAAGGCAGCCTGGGAAAGATGGATTATGTCTCTTTCTGTCAGTCAAAATGGATTTTGGCTAAATTCTTATTAAAAACTATATTTGCTTTAAATTTATAGGAAGTATTTTAGGCTCAGTAGCTTGTGAAAATGCATATGCTTCTAATGATAATGGGTTAAGTAAATTTTTTACATAAATAAGATGCAACATGAAGTCTTTACTGTACTTTTTATTAGTATAATGCTGTGTTTAATCTCAGTACTCTGAGTAGAAACTAGGAAAGGAACAGATGTTCCTATTAGGTGGATTATTTAGGAACTGTTTTGGTGTTTCAGACTGTCAGAGGTGTTAACAGGTGATAATAACTGGACCCATCCTCACCTGCTTTCTGTCATAGTGCAAATGTCAGAATCTGGGCTTTTCGTAAATAACTGGTTTTGTTAGTTTCAGTGACATTGGCATTTCTATTTCAGTACATATGCAAGTAATTTCAAATTTGTCATCTCTCTATCCTGATGCAGGAATCTTGTTTCCATGATGTTTGTGGGAACAAGATAACTTTCATTCTGGCATTTTATAATCTTTAAATGACAGCCTACAGGGATTTTAATAGTGTTTTTCGGCTATGGAGCACTCACTCCCAAAAAGGTAAAAATTGTGAACATTGGCAGAATCAACGCTTAGAAATGGGCAAATTTTAGAATTAAGTTACTCTTACAGGCTTATTTTTTCTTTATTATGCATTATGTGTTAAGCTGCAGCTTTGAATTCCACATTGATTCACAGTTGGCTCCCTTTCCTGCCCACCTCCCCTACTCCAACTTGTGTGCCATTCACTGTAGTTGTTGAGCTGGGTTTATCAAACAGTAACTGATAACTCTTATGTTACTTATTCAGTGCATGGCTTGTAAGGTATCTTTTATATAGTACCCAAACTCAGCATTATGCTGCATAACAGTTAAATTCTTCATAGGTAACAGTGCTCATCTTCATGTTTGAGCTCTTCACAAATGCCTGTGGTGCAGTGGTATTAGCTTGGCCATGCTGCAAAAGGAGAATTTGGGCGTACAGGTTGATGCTATTATCAAAACTATCCAGTAATTTGATTGTCTAATCTGAGAGCCCACTGGCGTGGATGTCTGGGCATTTTTAACCAAAAGTCATTTATTTACAGTATTTGGCATCTTACAGTACCTATATGAAATACAATAACAGCTGTGCATGGACAGTATTTTCATAAGTGAGATCTGAGATGCTTCAAGCTGGACGTAGAGAATGTGAGGAAAAGACTTTGACCAGTTTGTCCAGCTGGACATTATAGACCCTGTCATTCTCTTATGCACAGGTCTAACTTAGTTTTACTGAGTGGTATTCAGCTGCCTTAAGCAGAGAACTCTCCTTTTTCATTTTCTGCCTTTGTCATATGTTTCTGTAGAAGTTCAGGAGTCATCCTCAGTAGAGCAGTGAGCTTTACAGTTCCTAATCATGCTTTAGGGGTATTCAAAGGAGCGACTGTGTAAGTACTATGGTTATCAGGTGGGATCATAAACTTGTACATACAGTAGATGTGCAAGAGCAGCTGTGTGAATACAGTGGCTTATGAAGTACCACAGCACTTCATGCTTGGACATTGCTATTTGAGCTTGCTCTGTGGTGTCATATACGCGCTGCGTAATGATTTTGTTAACAAGAGCACTATACTGTCTGCGTAATGAAAGGTGGCAAATATATATCTCCTTGTAATACTTTATTTCACAACAGAACTTTACCATAAGCTGTTCTGAAAATGATGTACCATGTTTAAATGGCTGTTTAGGTCTCTAAATTTCTGACTGATTTTTATAATAATCGTTATTAATCATTTTATAATCATTGGTTATGCACCCCCACACTGCCAGCTTTAATGCATTTACAGTGTTTTGAGGTATTTATTTAAATACTGCTTTGCGGTTGGTGTCAATCTGGAATGTGACCAAAAAAAAAAAAGTTGGTTGTTTTTTCCCCTGCATGTATCATGGCGGCATCTGTGCAGTATATTTCTGATTTAGAATTTAATCAAGAGCCGTTAATTTCAATTAAAATAAAAGATGCCTGTGAAATCGCTCATTACAAGGAGAGTTAGTTTGAGTAAATAAATAGAACTAATGTGAATACAGAGGATAAAAGCTTCCCCTTGTGTCTTTCATATCAGTATCTTGTTTGGGTGCTGAGTGGAAGAAGGTTCTTCTTACACTGGAGCACCAGGTTCTGCCACTGGTGCTCCTGCTCTTGACTTCTGGCTGTGAAACATCCACTTGCTTTGCCACGAGCTCCCCATGTATCCTTTGGAAAATCACCTAAGAAAATCTTCTGTTTCTCTGGTTCCTATCAAATGGGGCATACTGATACCAATTATACCCTGGTGGCATGAAGTCAGGACATAGAGTGCCCTGAGGTGAAGGGCTCAGAGCCATGTATTATTTATTTCCAGTTGTCATGCAGAGGGTTATTTCCCCAAGGCTGGAATGCAGATTATCAGTTTACAAAATGGCTGCTGGTAATAACTCTCAACTTCAGCTATCAACTTTGACATCTGATGAACAGTGACTTGGGGAAGAGAGACTTCTCATTTCATTAGCAATCCTGCAAAGCATGCTGGTTTCAAAATATTGCTCAGTCTTTAAACGGAAGAAATCAATCACACCACTTAAAATAATATTCTCCTCATCATAAAATGTCAAATCAACATTCAGTATAAACCTTTTCAATTTTAATTTCTCTGCACTATTTTAGGAAGGTGATGCATGTTGCAGAGTTTAGCAGCTTGATAATCTCTTCCAAGCTACGCGGAATTCACTCTAAGGAAGCTGTGGGGGTGGGAACAAATAGAATTTGGAGCATGTGTAGGTTAGGATCCTCCAGAAAGAGTTCCTGGGAAACCAGAGTCCCCCCACGCAGGACTCCACATCCGCTTCCTTAACGGGGAAGGGAGTAATTTTTCAGCAAGGAAACAGAGCATGTCTGAAGTGAGCAGAGTTTACATGGAAGCTGCATGGCATTAGTGAAGTTCAGTTACGAATCATATTCAGGTGACCTTATGAGCATTTTTCTGACTGCAGCATTCCTTCTGGTTACCAAAAGTGCATGTCATTTGACAAACCAAAGTTGTGTCTTTACATATATTTGCTGGCTACAGAGCTTGTATGGATAGTCTCCCAAAGAAAAATGAGCCAAATGGTTAATTTCTTTTTCAGAAGAAAACATATATATATAAAAAGGTGCTGAAATTAGGAGAGACCTGGTCTAAGAAATACAGTGTCATGGGAATTCCTGTCAAATTGGAAGACAGGGCTGATAGCCAGCTGCTGTGTGGTAATAGAAGGTACTAGAAGGATGTATGGCATAGGATGCTGTCTCATCCCTGAAAGTGTGCTTGGGCACTTTGCTGTATGAAAATTGAGCATAACAGATGGATTTTTTTTTTTTTGAGGAAATCCATGCAGTTACTCCCAGCTTACAATTTATAAATTCTTCATATGATAGAAAAAATTCCACTGCATTCTTTTATGTCCTGCACATATAGTAAATTGCTGACTTTGTCCTGTGATGCCTTATGGCTAAAGGAGGTATAAGAGAAAGAAATGTCTTTCTCTTTGGAGAAAACCAACAGAATAAGAAAACAAAACTCCCCCAGCCCCTCTTCTACAGAAATATATGATCTACAGTGAGGAAAAGTGCCTCCTATGCTTCCAGTGGCCTGCTGTGGCATCCTAGTGGTTTATTTTGTGAACATATTAACAAATTTAGTTTTATACTTGAGTAATCTTTGAAGTGCAGGTGTCGAGGTAGCTATGAAATAGCTTCCCTCTCCTTCCGGGGGATTTACACAAAAGCACCTCTTCATGGCCGTAGCTGCAGAGACAGGTGGTAAAGTCACAAAACCAAGGGGAACATGTTTTTTATCCATTGCTACAAGCAAGTTATTAGCGATTGTGTGAGATCTGGCTTTGTTGCTTGGGACATGGTAAGGAGATCAAGAATACTGGCGCCTTAAGGTGCATCCTTGTTTTCACAGAGGCTGAACCCAGAGTGTTAGAGACTGTTTAACAGTTCAGATAGTTGTTCTTAAAAATGGTTTTGGCAACTTTTCCTCTCAGCAAGATACAGTCTTCATCTGCATTCTGCCATAGACACGACTGCAGCCTTAACATTTGATTTCATATTTCAAAATCCTAAGTATTGCTGATTAAAGCTGCGGCAGTTGTGGTTATTCTGCAGCTGTCTGCAAAGCTGAAAAGCTGTTAGGTATGTTTTAGCTTGCTTGTGCTTTGCATATGGATTGTTGCTATGCTTAGGACTGCTGGGGTTTTATGTCTGGTGCAGGTGTCAGAACACTGCAAGCTCTGACAGGGTTGTTGTGAGTTTTCAATTGATCTTATCATCTGCATGAATATGAATGCAAAATATGGAAATACATATTTCACTTTTTCCTTTCCAGGTCAACGGTGACATTCCACCTCGATTAAAAAAGAGCGCTCATGAAATAATCCTGGATTTCATCCGATCGCGACCTCCATTAAATCCTGTATGTAATCCTGTGAACTTCATTCCTAACAAAACCATGGCTTTTTAAAGCATGTTTGTGTCCAGGGAGTATGTCAAATATTACGTTTTCTGACAAGGGCTTTCAAAAATACTACTGTCTTCTGTATATAGAACATGTTCTCTTAAAAGAACAGTGTGTAATATCTTGCACCTACCAATTAATAGCTGTTGTTACCAGCCCTTTATTTCTGGGAAATAATGATGAATTGGGGAAAAATTTATGTGAGTTTTACAACTGAGTGTGTAAAATAGTATCACAACATTCCACTTTTTTTTTTTTCCAAAGAAGTGTGACATCTATTTTCAAGGAAGCACTGTTTTATGTAAATATAATTATCTTTATATCCTGAGGCCTCAGCAAGAAAACTGAAACCAACCCCACCGCGGCCACGCAGCCTTCATGAAAGGATACTGGAGGAAATCAAGGCAGAGAGGAAGTTGCGTCCAGTCTCACCTGATGAGATAAGGCGTAGCAGGCTGGGTAAGCACACTGCTGGTTTTTACCTGCAGCATCCACAGAAAACTTCCCACATAAGAAACAGCAATATTAGTGATGTCTGTGCAGGTGTCACAGAATATAAACTTGTTCTCATCCCTTCAGAGAAAGAAAGAAAGGACCTACAGGCTTTGCTAGGGCTATGCAATTTTCATGCTAAGCTATATTTAAAAATAAGATACTGCATGGTTCAGCTTGATTCCCTTCAAGTTTTTAATGTACATATTAAACAAATTTAATGGCATTGTATTGCTTGTTGCACACGACAGTTAGTGCTATATTTGCTCAGAATGGAATGGGTATTGCTTCTCCCTTGTGTAATGTTCCTTACATATCTGCATGTTTCATGTCTGTTTTTAATTAATCCTATTTTCTTTGTTTCCTGTTGTTAGTATCATCAATTTCCTTATTTTAATTCAAAATCTGCTTTTATTTTGTTTGCTGAATCTATTGCTTTTATTCTGAATCCAAATCTTTGCTTCATTTTCTAATTTATGGAACATATCTTTTCAGTGGGAGAATAATTCAGACTTGTGCTGCAAAGCATTTCATTTCTGTAATGTATATTCAAGAACCCACTGTGAGATTATACAAATACTATGTTTTCCAGGGATTACCAATTTGCATTAGTTCAATAGTTCTGATGACAAAAGCATGACAAATGCAGTCTTACTTTGTGACTTAGATTTCTTAGAGGACAGTCTTTATCTGTATCAGAAAAAGTGAGTTAGCTGGATTTTTGAAGAGCAGAAGTGGAAGTTTTTGTCTGAAAAGCATGAAATAATTCACATATATTCCCTGGTGCTGCTTTTTGCAAAATATTTGTGCTTGCCACATGTGCTTGAAGGCACTGGTCCAGATTCAAGTGGTTTGTGACAACCCATTGTCTCTGCAGAAAAACAATTTCATCAGTCTTGCTTTGTTGCATTGTTTTTTGAAGCACTAAATAGAGTTTGGTGAATGCTTGGGTGCGTTTTTAAAAGCACGATGTTTTGTATATTGTTTCTGTTTGTACTCAGTTTATGCTTGCTGTATCAATGTTTCTAATAGGTCTAGACATTTTTCCAAATGTAGGAAGCTTGTAAAAATGAGGAACAATTCCTTAATTTTCTTTGAAACATTCAGTTCGAGTATTTTGAATGTTCTCTTCTGGGAATTATCATGTCCTCTCAGGGGCAGCAAATTTAATCTAGTAGATTTTTACAATGTCTGAATGATATAAATAAGATCCAACCCTTTTAGTAGACAGTTTCTAAAACCAATGTTAAATTTTTGAGTATTACAGGTTAGGACTTCCTGGGCTGATTTCAGGGCATGGCCCCCAGTAAGGGATAACTGTCTTCACCAATTCTTAATTTTTTTGTTAATTAAATTCTTTGATTTTGCAACAGTGGTAATTCTCCTTACGTCCAGTGAATTGTTTGGATTAAATGCCATATGAAGGTGTAAAAGGGGATGCATGCATGCAAGTTTTATTTCCCAAGTGTTTATTTGCTGCTGGCATGAAGAAGAAAAAAGAGCAAAGGCCTTGAAGATAATTTTTCTTATGTTGAAACTTGAGGGTTTGTTTTTTCTCACATGGAAGTGATTGTTATGTCCAAAGTTCCTCTTAGAATAAAATACGTTTGTGCAGAAGTATGAATAGAGTAATGCTAGTGACATTCAGTATGGTACCAATAGATCTGCCATATAATTTAGATGATCACTGAATGCAGTTTAGAGTTACAATATGTAAGGTAATGAGGTTTAAGGATTATAAATCTAACTAGAAACACCATGTAGGACACTTGCACCTTCTGGACAGAAATATTTGTTGCCCTTAAAAAGAAGAAAACCAAAAGAGCATTAGAATGAAATATTTGGGAGCATACGGTACATTGCACATGTCCCAGAGTTATAGGGAGGGCAGAGTGCAGGGTGCAGGCAAGAGTGCAGCTACACTTGACTTTTGGGGTGAGGGGGCCTGTACTCATGCAGTTCTTCCTCTGTGATATGGGTGGACCTATGGCATGTGTTTCCTAGCAGCAACAGGCTTTGTTCTTCTGCTCTGCTCTGCACAGCACATGCATGCATACAGGTAAGATCTTTACCCTGACCTGGCACTGAGAAAAGCCACCCTGTGGCTGGCCGCTCTGAGCCTAAAACTTCTTTGGAGACAGTAATGTTCTGACAGAGGGAGCGGTCTGAGCAGAGAAATTGGAGTGAGCTTTCATACAACCTTGTAAAATCATCAGAGTAAGCTATCGAGACAAACACAGCCTTGAGGTACATGTCCTTAAGGCTTGAATTTGTGACTCAAGCAAGTTGAGCTAATGGAGCTTGGAGAAAACTTTGTTTCATGTATGTGTTTATCAACCTTCAGTTAGGACTCGGCATTAGGTGATAAACACCCTTACGCTTTAAAATGTTTTTGCCTTTTTGCTGGGTTTGAACAGGGATTTCGGTACTGTTTCTGTAACTGTTGCCTGTGGCTGATGTTGTCTACTTAATGAGCTACAGGAAAAATACCCTGACTCCCAAATTTTACTCCAGGTGATCCACCTACTGCAGTCATTACATAGATTTGTTCTCATGAACAAAACTCCCAGCACAGACTTTTTTTTAAACACCTTTTAATGCAGTGGTATATGTGGCTGAGAGCCCCTTTCATGCCAACTTGCATGTTTATCACCTGTCAGTTAAGACAGATAAGCTGATGTGGGTTTTGATGCATTATTGTCACTGGGCACGGCCTGCTTATTTGTCTTAGTGCACTGAAATTTTGTTTTCAGTTGAGAAATATTTTGAGTATCTGCTCCCTGAATTACACCGTTTAACAGGAAATATACATAGGCCTTTCCAGAAACAAAGATCCACATGACCACTTTCTTATCTAGAAATAAAAAACTCAGAGGACCACAAAGAAGGGGATAATATTGTGAATACATTTTAAAGGTTAAGTCCACATAAGATTTTTTAAAAAGAACAAGAATCAGCACAGATCACACAGTGTTTGGCCTGTATTTCCGTTCTTTTCAAGGAAAGTACTGCTCAAGTACTTTCAAGCTTAGCTTGAGTGTCTCTCTTTATTAGTTTAATTATAATCATTGGAGATTATGCTTAAAAAAATTAGAAATATCTTTTTTTCAGGTCACTGAAACTTGTGTGAAGTGTGGCTTTGTGCTTTTGTTTTTGCTCTTTCTTCCCTCTCTTTCACTTTACCCTCCCCCCTCTCTCTCTTTCATGGCATTTTAATTGAAAAAAAAATTGATTTTTAAGGTACTTGCCTTGAATTGATACTTGCCTTGAATTAGAAAAATCTCATTCTACAACTAATTATAATCACTCTGTTTGCAAGTCCCATTTATGCTGCTGTAGTTTTCAGACTTTGCGCTTTGCTTCAGTAAAGCAATAGTGTGACACATTTTGGATTTAGGCAACAGAATCCAAAATGTCTCAAATGGAGTTAATCTCTTGGTTTCACTGCCCTTCTGCTTTTCTAATAGCTGAATTATTTTCTTTTTGTTGTTTTCGTTTCTTTTTTTTTACAGCAGTGCGGCCACTTAGCATGTCTTACAGTTTTGACTTGTCAGGTAAAAGGTGCAACACCTGATGTGGTTATTGTGCTAGTTGTGAAATTTGTTCCATCTGTTTGTTGAATTCCCATTTAAGAAAGAAACTTGAAGGGATTCTTCCAAGATATGGTCAGTGAAAATAAAAATTAAGATAAATTACTTATCTTACTATCTATCTATCCGTTGCCACAATAGGATGCTTCAGTATAGGAAACATCTGTATTTCACCTGAAATAGAGTGCTGGAATTCTGTTTAAATAAATAATCAAAATAAGGTGGCCCAGAGCTATTCCAAACAGTGTCACCTTCGAGTCTGATCTGACTTTGTGTCTTTACTCACTTTTTCACTACACCATCTTCTGCAGTACTTAATTTCTCACAGGGATCCAAAACCAGTTTTGAACTCTTCTACCTTTCTAGATTTAATGAAATGCAGCTATGAATAGTAATCTAGAAAGGAACTGTCAGTTCTGCTGAGTGTCTTTACAGTAAATGCTTTTTGAGTTGTGAAATCAGACGTTCACTCAAAAGAAGCTAAACTTTCCTTCTTTACTGGTTAGCAAAATAAGTTGCTAAGGTTTGCTGGTAATAGCTGATACAGAGGATTCCATAGCTGATACTTCATCAACTGTCTAAAACCAAATTTTAAGTTTCCTCCTGGTGGGCCATTAGTTAGGATGTGCAGTAACTGTATGGACATGTTCTACTTCAGAGGCAGCAACATCAGAGAGAGTTTGTGCCTATTAGCCAGAAGTAAATCCATTCTTCCCTCATTGCACACTAACTTTCCAGGATGCTCAGGCTCAGAGACTCCATCGTTGAGGCTGGAAATAGTCTACATTAGCCTCAAAGGTTTGTCCACTGAGGACAGCTCTTATGCTAGCTCTCACCTCATTTCCCCTAGGTGACCTCCCAAAAAACTGTCTCCAAATAAATCCATGCTCTCATTTTGTGAAGAAGCAGCAGCAGCCGTACTGTCCCCCCTTCCTTCCAGTTGTAGGCAGAAACATCTCATCTGCATCTTCTGCAGAGTGTTCATCCTCTGTTTCTCCATTCACCCTTTAACCTCATGTGTTTATTTTCCCCATAGAAAGGCATAATATGACTGAAATACTCATATATTATGGACTAGAAATTCCATATAGAAGTTGGTTTTTTTTTATTACTGTAATATAAAATTTACAATAGTTTTGTAATATGGGAGCAAAGTTCACAAGTGACTTACCTGTGAACGTGGCTCCATGTTCTGGCTGAGCCAAATAAACAGCTTGCAACTGTCAAGAGCTGAGGAGGGGCTCCTGTGGATCCCTCTCTTCCCCAGGTTCCCCTCAGAGCATGGGATTCCCACTCTTTCTCTGTGCAAGTCCTGCCCATTTATTCACAGCATGACCTGCTTAAACTCATGTAACCCAGGAACAGATACTTTCATTTTTTTTCTGCTCTTTTAGTGATTTAAACCTGCTTACTATGTGATCCGATGATCAGAGAGCTGGCTCAGAGTAGGTGATGAGTACGGGTGGATGGGAGGAAGAAACAGGCTCTCCCCGTCAGAGGCGGTGGCAAGCTGTTAATCCAGCTCCATCCCTTTTGTGAAATTTTACACTCAGGGCATATTGTGCAGCTACTACAGCTGTAGTGGGATTCAAATTCTGTATGCACCTGGTATCATGTTTTACTCCACTGGGAGCTGAAAGGTCCCCAGGGGTTCAGTTAATTGTATAAACAGCAAACTTTGGTTTTCAAAAAGTAGTGCTACTTTAGGATATGCCCAAAGTTCCTTCAGCCTTAAGACTATAAAATGAAATGTGCCAGTGAACAATAAGAAGGAAGTGTTCAGATCTGTCCTTTAACATGTCTGTCTGCTTCTTCTTTTACCTTTTATTTCATTTGTTTAAATCCAAACAGTATTTTGTTAAAAGATCCCTCCATCATCCATAAATCCATTATCCATATCCAGTCATTACCATTATGTTTTTCTTATTAAAAAGTAGCTTCATAGCAATCTGTACTGTACTTGGATTTGTTCTTTTTGACTGACCATTGAAGAACTCTTCCTGTTTTCTTTATCCATCTTCCAACTGTGATTGGTTTTGGTTTTTCAGGTCATGGGGTTCTCAGCAAATAGCATCATATGGCGTGACTGAGTGATCTGATAAGTTGTCTTTAGAAGTAAATTCAGGGTGATTAAAACATTCCAGTTAGATCTGAGACACCAGATGAGCTGTACAAATGAATTAGATGGGTTGGGATGTTGATAGTAAGCAGATAAGCAGTAGCTTTGAATGTTGTTGCTTTGTGTGCTTTTACTTTTTTCTTTATTCTGGAGGCTGGGAAGCTATATTGTGCTTTCATCAGTGTTTCCACATTCATGCTTTTTCACATCTTTCATTGCTCTCTGCTTGATGGAATTGCTGAACTGAAAAACTGCAAAACCTGTTGAAAAGCAGAAGTGTTTCCTACTAAGTGCTAAAGGATAGGTGCAGGCTGATGTTATGCTAATTTCCTTGACTGGGATGACAGAACAATCCTGAGAAGACTTTTGCTGGCACTGACCGAGCAGGTATAGTTGGTATGTCACACTGTCCGGCTCCATGCAGATGCCTGCTGTTATCCTGAACAGGAGAGGAGGGGTACTTGGGACCCCCTTTTACACTGCTGTTTCCTACTAGTAGAATAGAAGGAGCAAGCGGTAGCCACCTGTAATGAGAGTAGTCTGAGAGGTACTCAGAAATTGAACAGGGGCTGGGCAATCATTGCCCACTTCTAATAGAAAAATAGTTTTAAAGCAGCTTAATTTCAATGCACTGTGTTGAATGCAACTCAAAAGATCAGTCATTCCCACTCTTAACACTCCATTTCTTACCTCAGAGCTGTACTCATGGCTGCTTTGAAGTTGTTACTTCAGAAAGAGTTTTGCACATTGGGGGGGGGGGCTGCAGGGAAAGAAGAAAAAGGAAACTGAAACATTGAATCCCATTATTTCTTTTGTTCCCAGTCTTGTGAGGTGATGGGTATCACTTGGCTTTACATGATCTGTGCCTCAGACCACTGTGAGGAAGGAGGAAGGAACTCTCCCAGCTCCTGGCAATCTTTTAATGTAGATAACACAATAATGAATGTAATGCAAACACCAGCAGAAGACTGGCATTTTGTATTACTGATTTATTAGTTCTTGGGTTAAACTTTGTCATCTAAGTCCATTGAAAGGAACAGCACATCTCTATTACATTTTCATTATGTAATCTTTCCCAGTATATTATGATCATGATGACAAGCAAGAAGTAAGTCTGTAATAATTCTGAAAATCCATTTTTGCATTCTTTTAAACTCAGTGTAAAAATGATGAGGTTAAGGAGTTCATTTGCCATGTAGAACAAAATTCAGGATTCTGTTGTCATTATTTGCTCAGGAGAGGTGGTTAGGAGGCCAACAGCATATGGTTACATGACTGCTGCAGTTTGTGTGTAATCTGTGGTCTGTTTAATTCCTTGTTTCATGAGAGACATCATCTTACATGTAAATAAAGGCACATTTCGTATTATCCTAGGGTGGGATTTTTTTGTGCTTCCCACCCCAGCCCCCTTCTTAATACTAGTCAGGGAAGGCCAGCACAAAGATCAAGTAATCAAATCAAGACCTTCTCTTCTTTCATTTGCCTGTTGTAATGATAGTTTAGAAGAAACAAAAAAGAAACCAAACACATTCATCCAATTTGCAGGTACTGCTCATTGTGCTTGCTGCCTGAAAACAGGGAGAAATGAAACTCTCCCAGTGTGTCTAACTCTCTAATAAAGCCTTAACCCCAGGCTGTTACTCACACAAGCCTTTTTTTAATATGATTTGAATCAACTTCAAAACATTTAGATGTTTTAGGAAAGTAGAGATTGTGAACTATTATCCATTTGAGAAAATAAATTTAGGTTTTTGTTTCAAAGACTTTCTTCTGTCATATTCATTTTGATAAGCATTAGTCTATTGGTTGATTCTGATTTGTTTATCCTGTTTAATTTTATCTTGTTTATGATGATGGAAGATTATTTGCCATCGGTAATGTTTCTGTTGCCTGAGTACATCACTTAATAAAATAAATAAATTAGCTTAAATAATAATAAATAATAAATAAATAAATAAATAAATAAAAAGCTTAAATAAAGTAATAATTTTTTGGTCTGTATCTGCTAACAAACTCTGATTTTAATTTTGGAACAAGTTGTTGAAATCTGTTTGCTGAAACTGTAAAAGTTAATGATCATTTCCTTAAATTAGGATAACCTATTTATTCATATATATCCAGTACTGTAAGTGCAGGAATGATAAAAGGAACTTAAGCACTATTGACAAAATGGATTTTGTAGATTTTTCAATTTTACTTTTTTTTTAATTTATTCTTTAATGCTTGCAATTTGCAAAAACTTCATTTTTTTTGTTGTTTATTTTTTTCTTAATAATACATAAAATAAATGACATTTCCCACTGAAGAGCCCTTCAAAACAAATATTACATTAGATTGTCTTCTTAATTCACCTAAAACTTATCTGGTATTTCAAGACTTATAAACCAACATATGGACAACTCAAGAATATGTATGAACAACTCATATATGTATGAATTTAAAATACAGCTGGTTTAGGCTTTTTAGATAGTGATTGGCTACATAAATTACCTCCAAAATGGATCAGAGATTTCAGTTTCTGGAGCCCAAAGAAAGTGGGCCTTAGTTTTTAGAAATCAAGGCAACAACAATAACAAAAACACCCCAACAGAAAAGAATTTATGATGTGCCCTGGATATCCATTCCATCACCTCCCACAGTGCTAGGGGATGTTTGGTGGATGTTCCCTCCTCTTTCCTCTTCCCAGACCTATCATGTGTTTTATTTTTTTCGAAGGAGGGCAGTACTGTTGGCCTTCCCATCATTTATTCTACTACTGAGTCCAACAGTACTTACAGGCCATTCTTCACCCTCCATACCATCAGGCAGGAGAGCCGCCACCCAGGAAGTTTGAGAAGGGACACCACCTGTGTCTGTTGTGTTGGTGGTGCTGGGGCTGCTTCATTGGACAGCCTGTTCAAGAGCCAGCCTGGGCAATCAAAAGACAAATCAAAGGTTTTTCTCTTGCTCATTTGGGCAACCCTGAGCTTCTTCAATCAAGTGCATACCAGCTAATTATGAGGTCTCAAGAAGTGGTATTGGCAGCAGGGAAGTGAGGCAGTTTGGGTTTTGTTTCTCTGCTATTGCTTTCTGGGATTGTGTTGAGTGGCTACTAAAGCAGGAATGCATTTGATGTGGAGGACGCTCATGTTCTACTCGCAGAAATCTAAGAGGGGGAAAAAAAACCCATGACCTATAAGCCATAGTGCTAGACAGGACACCCATTAGCAAAGCCTTTGAAGATAGGAACTAAGGGTTAGAGAGTCTTAAGTCTTTGAATGCAACTCTTTGTAGGGAGGACCTGAAGGCAGTAATAACACTGTAGTACACAGATTCATAGGCTTGGAATGTCACCATGACTTTAATAGTCCAAATAATCACCTTTTCTTATACTCCCAGTTGAAGGTATGATTTACAGAGGAGCTATAATACATGCTCTGTCCTTTCTAGCTCAGTTTCCAGCATTTAACAATAATCTAATTAATCCTTTAAAATATATATTTATTTAACCCATTCCTCATCTTATTCCTTTTCAATAGCTGCTCTGGTGAGAGTGTTGTAAAACAGACCTACTGCTGCAACTGAGGCTATGTCTAGACTATGTTGTTTTAATTTTCCTAGTGCAAGAACAGCTTTTATCAATGCAAACTGCGTTACAGCAGCAGTGACCAAGTCTGTTTATACCAGGACAACTATATAAGTAACTCCAAGTGAAGTGTGAGTACTTACATTGCTGGTACTGGGAATATCTGGGTGATATCATTTCTCTGTCATAGTCCTCCTGGTAACCTGAGGTACGAGTCGTTTGACCTTCTGTGCCTCTTTTCACCATGTATAAAAATGGGAATAATAACCTGTCATTACCCTAATTTTATAATACCTCGAGGTACTTTGTTATTACAGGACTGGGGAAAGAGTCCTATAATTACATAGATAGAAAAACACACCTGTAGAAAGACTAGATGCTTAGGCATACATGCAAATGGAACATTAAAAGCTTCTCTTCCTTCTCCCTCCAACACAATTTTCTTCAGATTGGAATACTGTACTTTGTACTTTTATAGGGATAAAACTGATTTATCAGACCAAACTCTAAGCTCTCCTAATATATCAAAGCTTAGGTCATTATCTTAATGTCTAAGCTAAGCTAGGCAAAGCATAGCAGACCCAGTGTTTATGTTATCCAAGATGCATCTTCGTTGCACACTGGTAGAAATCCTCAGTAATTTACTCAGTGGGGTTACATCCTTGTAAAACTCACGTAGATTAAAATAGAGCTGGAGCCTCATCTTTCTGCTATTACATGAAGATCTGACATCACAGACATATTTTTAATACAAATGACCACCAAGCCTAAGGACTGTGCATGTTTTGATGAACACTAGTTATTTAGCTCATTTTCATTCCCTTCTGTGTACTGCAGAATAAAGTGTAGTTTTGTCCTTACAGGAAAAACTAGGTTTACTCCATGCTAAACCTTCTAATCTCTGTATGGCGTTGTCTTCAGATTCACTGGAAACCCACTTATCCACATACATATCTTCTGATACTTGTTATGTAGCTAATTACAAACTAGAAGAAAGAATATTTCCAGATTTAACACAGGATTATTTTTGTAAGTGGATTGGTGTTGGTCTGAGGTTAGTTTTTAGTATTGTGCACTGCTGCTTTTTCCACTGCTTTCATTCTTTCATCTTGCTTCTGTAGCACAAGCCATTGCTTGTAGCTCTCTGAGCAATGTATTGCTAAAGTAAAATGACTGCACACATATAACTATCACAATAATTCTTTTCTCCTTTGTGTGTATTGCCTGGGCAGTAAGGTTTGTGAAGGTAAAATAAAAATCAGGTCCAAACACCAATTGTTCTGTTTCTTTTGATAGATGTATCTACACCAGAGGCTGGGAGAAAATTGATGGATGCCTCTATAGTGAACGGTGGCCTAGCACCACAAGAAAAACAAAATGGGGCCACACAAGCGACAGTGCAACGCAAGAGACTCCTTAAGGCTCCAACGTTGGCTGAACTTGACAGCTCAGATTCAGAGGTAAAAAAAAATCAGCATCCTTCTCAATTTGTCAGAATTGAGTCTTAGTCTTTAATTTGCTGAACTGATCAGCTGAGAAGTGAGTTTGCAGATTATCATCTGAATTTTCCATGACTGCTTTGTTGACCCACAGAATTTAAAAAAATATTAGATCAGACCTCAAAAATGGGAATATTCTTTTGAAAGCTTGAATGCTAATTTTGTCCTTAAACCAGAATTTATTTATTTTTCTAATATAAGTATCTGTCCACAGTGTATATGTAGCAGTTAGGCCTTTGGGAATGCAGGAAAATGTGTTGTACCCTTCTGGCAGGAGCTGTCACTAATGAACTCGGATGTGAGGCCAGCCTCACTGTACCAGATGTTAAATAAAGAGCATCCTCTGTGCCAGAGGGGTCGCAGTTTGGTGCAAATGTCAGTGTGTTAGTTTTGATATAAAGGCTTATGAAGTAACATCCAATAAATGTTTCACAGATAAAGGCATGCAAATACCACTTATGTGGAGGAACAACTTTGACTCCATCCCATCTCAAATGGAGAGTTAAAGATTTTTAAAATGCATAAAAAGCCCTCTAGCTTAAAAGCTGCAATATATGATCCTCAAGAAGTACCGACATTACATCCTCAAGAATGAGCTTTATCTACTGGACCAATAGTAGTAATATTAATTGAGTTTGGACCTTTCTGAAAGTTAAGCTGTCTGAAAAGCACGTGCAGGCAGGGTTTATACATGGAGGCTGATTTTAGCCTGGGGGAGGCAGTCTTCCCTGACTGCCGTTCTCTCTAGTAAATGGGAAAGGAGGGGTTTCCTGACAGGGTGCTTACAAAGGCCTCTAAGCTGAAACATAGGAGGCTGGCAAAATATATATGCGGGGAGAAATTTGTCTCTTTGCATACTTTCTTGATCTGTGAAAGTTGGCTGTCTTTGTATTCGGGGATTATCCTGTGGGTGACTTGTGTGGGTGCATAATTTGGTGCATCTATTCTGAAAGCAGAAGAGATTTCCATTTTGAAATCTCTCAGCAGTCTTTAAAATTACAATAGAGGCTATATGAGGTTTTGCTAATGTGAAAGAAGCTGGGCAGGAGGCAGGAATATTAAGACCTGTCAATGAGAACTGAATCTTGAATTTACAGCTTCCCAGCCCTGTGCATCCTGAAGCTAATGCAGCATGATATTTCACACAGAAAAATGAGCAGAAGCCAGTAAAATAAAATTCTGTAAAGGGAAACGTGAAGTGATTCTTGTCTAAGGGAAAAATAAGATGTCTGACTGCAACTATTGATTGGGGAATACTGTGTAGGCAAGCAAAGTCTTACAGAATAAGTTCTGGAACACAGCAAAAGATACAGTGAAAATAAATTGGCCACATTGAGCTGTCACAGAGAATAGATGCTGTACTGGTTTGAGTCAGCAGAATTAGCTGGTGAAGCAATTAAGATGATTAAGGTGCTCAGCAGAATACTGGTTGGGGCTCAGGAACAGTGCTTAAGTAGTGAAAATAAGAAAGCTGAAGGGTGTTTGGTTGAAATTTTCCACGCTGATGAAGGGGGCGGGACATAGAATGTTTGAAGAAAGTGAAGATCACTCTGTCAGAATGTCTTCTTCCCTGACTTTCATTTTGTATGTAACACACAGAAAAGCATATGTGTTGTCCTGATTGCCTATAAATGACTCTGCCACCTCTTTGCCTGCAATTTGAATTTGGCTTCACCTATTTAGACTTACTCACTGGGAGTTGAACTATGACTATGTTATGCCCTAAATTACAGGCTGCAAATACCTGCACTGCTTAGCTGCAGACCTCTGAATGAGCTATGATGCAGACCTGGTTTCTTCCCCCTGCATCCCCTTTGTTCTTCTGTCAGCTGTGTTGTGATGCAGACTATGCCCCAACATTGTGCTGCTAGCCAGAGGTGAAAGGAAAGATCTGATATAGCATGGAACCCTATGCCCATTTGCTGGCAAGCATCAATATTGTACAAACCGTTCCTGCTTTTTGACCTTGCTTTTTTCTGCATCACCACTAGAATCACAGTTTCAGAGAGAGAGGAGGAAGTGCCATTTTTCTTTGTGTGGCTACGTGAAGTAGCAACCTAATTGTGATTTTTGATACAGCTATAAAAATGGTATCTTCCTAATAAAGCTTCAGATATCCAGACAAAAATCATGTCAGTAACATATTCACGTGTTTTAAGGTGATGCCTTTAAAGCTGCAACTTTCTCAGTACATGTAAAATTCTAATTGTTTAGTCATCTGTGAAGAAGTGCACAGTTCCAGATGTTGCGTTGATCCAACCTCAAATGTAAAATGTCAGATATTCTACCAAAATAGTCAACAGTTACTGTATTGACATTATTGACAATTGAAGAAATTCATACAATGGTTCATCAGGACTACCTGCTCAAGATTTCATTCTCAAAAAAGCCTTCAGTGTTTGAGGAATCATATGGCAGTAAAAGAATTTTCAATGGATATGTTTATGCACAGAAAAAGTAACTTGAAATGACAAACCAGGAATATCTGTTAGGATGATATGTCAAATTTAACATACACCTGGCTTCCATTCTCCCTGGGTTGGTTGTTTATACACTATACTATACACTATAACTATTTTTTATACTCAGCCATTGGCTCTGACAGTTCATTCCCTTTCATTCTTTAGAATAAGAGATGTAGCTCCTGTAATCTTGTAGGTCTTTACCACAGAGAAGCTCCTTATTCTCAGTTTTTGCCCATTTCTTTTATTCTGGGTTGGTTTGTGGGGTTTTTTGGGGTTTTTTTTTTTGAGATTTCTAGGCCACTGGAATAGCCAGTGTTCGGATATCCATTACTAGTGAAGTAACTAGATGTCCTTCACAAAAAATGGGAGCGAGATGGAGACATCTGTGTGATACCGTGTTTTGCAATATGTGACTGAGACATGAGGTCTGTCTCAAGTTCAGAAGTGGAACGAAGAATGGTCAGTAGCTATTTCTTTCCACTGAAAAGTGGCAACTGGCAAAATCAGATAGACTTGTGAAATGTTTCTGTAATCCCTGTTCGATAGTTTTAAGATAAGATATTTACAGGCTTTTGATATTTTCAGTCGTGCACCATTTTTATCTCTCTTCTCTCTGTGCCAATGTTTCAGACAGAGGAAAAATGGAAGAAAGGGGAGAACAAAAAAACCCTGAAAAGAGTGTAAATAAATTCAATGCACAGACTATTCCTTGAATCACCATTCAGTCTTTTGTAAAACTCTACAGCATAAAATGCTGACAACTGGAAGTACTTACAATTTTTGGTCAGAACTAGGTAAGGTCTCACAGAGCAAGAGACTTCTCTAGAGCAAAGATTGCTTGGATTGTGCTCTGGAGACAGCTGTTTTCTGCCTGCTTCTCAAAAAGCATTCTCTGAAGCTCTGGTTGCTCTTCATTCATGAAAATGAGCAGCACAGCACCATGGTTATGTTTTTTTAATAATTGACAGCTTGCTTAGTTCCTCATTTTAGCTTGTTAGCTTCTAGTAATCTTTCCCTTTGAAGAATTTGACTTTTATAAAGTGAGAAATTTAAGTTCCCTTTGCACAGGGGTTATTCTCCTTCACAAAATTTTAATGTTTAACTCTAGATTTGTGAACACTATTGCACCCCTTCTAAAGAACAGTGCATCCAGTTGTCTTACAAGTTCTCCAGTGGTCTTTAAAAGCAGCCATGTGGCGTGAAGCAGTGATAAGCAAAGCTATCTGACCTAGCTCTGTAGTTAAACTACACTGGTTTCTGGAAGTGAAACAGCTCATGTAGCTGAATGTGCTGCTTAAACTTCCCTACAAGCTTCCCATTGCAACTGTTTTGTGGGGTCACACTTGATATGTTAAAGTGAATATATAGGTTTGGATCTGATCTGGTTTGAGTCCCTTTGTAGAATACTGTGTTGTGGCATACATGTGGGAACAGTATACTTCACAGTGTCCTCACATACAGTGTGTACCCTTGGACTAAGCATAAATTACAGATCACCTGATGTGAATTTGTAGGGGCCTGTGTCCTGTGATGCATGGTGCTCATTGAGGTGATCCTGCCAGCTTTTTCCTTCCAAATTGCTATTACCAAAGAAGGCAGTTTTTCAGCCAGTGGAGGTTTTCCTGCTTGTGATTCACGTAACTAAGGAAATATGTGAGAGAGAAGCTTTGGTGCTTGCTGGATTTTAGAACAGGTCACTTTTTTGATCTGCAAATCTTGACAACTTAAATGATGTAAGTCTCCTTGGTTAAAAGCTTTCACATTAGAACTAAAGAGCATTCACATTCAGTCCTTCAATTCTGTTCCTTTGGGAGGTGCCTGTGATGATCTGTATCTTGCAGATATCTGGTGGCTGAAGACAGAGCTTTTAGGTGAAAGCAAAAGATTTAATTTGGGTGGCATAATGCTGTAGATAACTGAAAGGTGTTAGTCAAAGCCTGTTTCACTTTAATTCATCTTGCAGGAATTGCTCTTGGCTCTTGTGATGAAACATATAATGAATGAGATTTCTTTTAAATACGGAAGAAAGGAGAAATGCACCAGGATTAAGGATTAGTGAACAGTGCAGTGGGGATCAGATTAATTTCTGTTTACCCAAGTCACTTGTATGCGTGGCTCTCATTCCTTTGGATGCCAGAGAAATCCAAGTGCTGATTCCTTGATAGTGTGAGATAAATGATAGTGTTGAGTTAAATGTATCTGCTGTAGCTGGAAATCCTTAGAAGTCCTTGAATACACTGAGGAAAATTAGCAGGTTACAATGGATTCATGTACCTCCTTCTGAATTCATGCATCTTTCTTCTGATCTTGTTCTTTCTTGTGATAGTTAAATACACCGAATTCCAACCATTTATTCCAGTTTCTAAAAAAGCTAAGCATTGAAAATTCCATTTACTCAGTGATGTGTAGTGTGAAGTGTTTTTCTCAGGACTTCTAGGGCTTTGAGTGTTTGAATGGTGCAAAATGCCTTTGATAGCTTGTGATTTCTGTGTGCTAAGAAGCAGTAAGAGCAGAAAAAAACAATCCCTGAAGAATTCTGTTTCTTTTCCTCTTGCCACATAGGAGGAATCAGTACACAAATCAGCAAGTAGCAGCAGCATCTCCCCCTCACAAGTGGAAGACCCCTCTCAAGAAGGTACCAGCAGCAGAAAGAGTGAGTTTTGATGAGAGAGCCCAGTGGCTGCTTTTACACACTTGTGTTGTCACCTGCTCTATGAACTTTGGCTGAAACTTTCATAGAAAGCGGAGGCTGAGTGTTGTTAATGGAACAAATCTCTAAAGCTGAACCCTAGAACCTGCTGAATAGGTCACATGTGGTTAATGATTGAAAGGCATTAGCCTCCATTATATGTGGATGTTTTTGTGAAACAGAAGGTGTCATACCTGAAGTTGATGTGAGACTGCAGAGGAGCTCAGAAGTGAACGCTGGGTAGTCTAGCTATGCTCTTGTCATGGGATAATTTGTTGCTGCAGAAACACATTCTAGCCTAAGACCAATTTAAATGTTTCCTGCATCTCTGTCACCATGGCAGTGAATGTATTTGTTTGAAAGACACTATTTTTCGTAAGTACTTACTGGGAAGAGGGGAGGATCTGTTATTTCTTTTTCTCAGACACAGTTATTGTAGGCTTTACAGTGTAACAATATTTTTCATTTGTTTCAAATTGTTTCAGTTTCCCTGGAAAGGTTTTGTAATGAAACCTGTAATCTGTGCATGTATTTTCTGTGTACAGTGGTGAAATAATTAGGATAAGCCAACACCCTGAAACACCAAACTTATATATGATGCTAACTGGACAGTATAACATAGAAACTAGCCTATATTTGCTACTTTTATGGGTATTCATATTTTCTTAATCTGGAAAATGTGATGAATGTGATACCTGTCTTGGTGCTCTGAGTATGGATGTGGGAATTCTAGCAAATCCGTGGCTGGTTTACGTACTGAGCAATGTATCCAACAGTCTGACTCACAAGAACTAATTTTTTAATACTGGTTGAATCTGCAGTGCCTCCAAAGTTCTTGCCCATATCATCTACGCCACAGCCTGAGAGACGGCAGCCACCTCAGAGACGGCACTCCATTGAAAAGGAAACACCAACCAATGTGAGACAGTTCCTACCACCTTCAAAACAGAGCTCCAGATCACTTGTAAGTGGAGTGGGTGGTAGGAGAGAGAAAAAGAGGCATGCTAAGAGTATAATGAAAATTAAAACTTGGCTTCAGTGTGATTAGAACTTGACTCAAAGAAAACTTCTCAATTCAGAAACAGCCCTTGGCTACTAAAGACGTTTTGAAATCAAGATTTGAACTTTGTCTTGCTAGCATATTTATCCACAAAATCCCAGGTACAGGTGCCTCAGAAAACATTTGCACTTTGATTAGGACTCTGGGTAAGGCCATGTGTCTTGATTTTATTTCAGAACATTACCCAAACAGACAAACTTCACCTTACTGATTTTCCATTTGAGTAGAGACAATTCCAAAGCAGTGGATCTATTTGGGGATTTTGGGTTTTTTTTTTTTAGTTGTTGGAAGTATTTCAGTTAATGGGTGAATGAGCAAAACAGTTTCTTTCCTTCCCACCTTAAGAACTTGTGTAGTAATGTTTATACGTATGAAAGCTCTTTCAGTAATCCAAATCAAGGTTTGTCTATGTTGCTTTGTTGAAGTTACTGAGTCAAAAACCTTTATTATTGCTTGAAAAGAAAGTACATTTGATCAGTTAGCCGTAATTGAGAGCTGTTTTCCAACAGGGTATAAACAGCAAAGGGTGTGAAATCCTGGTTTGTTTATGCTGACATACCAATTAGTGCTTTGTAATTTTATGCAGGTTATATTCCTCATCGATTTTCCTACCAGCAGGGTTTAAAGTATGCCCCATGAGGTGCTAGTGAATAGAGAAATCGATAAACACATACTAGTTTTGGAAGGAAGGGAATATTCACTTGTCCCATCTTGTAGCACAGTGGTATTAATGGCCTTTGAAGAGTGTTTTTGTTGGCCCAAGAAATGGTAGCTGGGATCCATACCTATTAGATGATGAAGTTAAACAGTAACAAGAAAATAATCTCCAAATATTCCCACAACATGCTTCCTCCTTCTCAGAGGGTCTGCTGGGGTTTGTGTATTATATCCTTCCAAATAGAATGGTAGTTTCTCATTCCAGTTGAAGGTCAGGTGGTACCATGTTGATAAATGCACAACATGAGTAGACTTCTGCCAGAGTGAATTTGAAGCAGAGCATACTGCACCAGAACATATTGCACCAGAACATACTGCACCAGAACCAAGCTAGAGGGTTCCTTCAGCATGTGTTTGAAGACACTAACATATAAAATGGATCACTCTGTTATTGCCTGCTGCACTCACTGGAAGCACAAGCTTTATTTTCCGATAGGGCTAGAGTCATTCACAGACATACTGTTTAAAGGGAGGAGAGTAGAAAGCATTATATACTCCCTCTCTGTCTGTTCACTGACTTATGCCTAGAAAAATATCTGCAAAATAAAGCCATTGCAGAAAAACTAACTCAATTATTCTACACACACCCCCCTACACCCCCCTTAAAAATACTAAAGGAAAACGGAGAAAAAGCCATTAATTAAGTAAGGTTAATGTGGGAACAGACAGGAAAGGTTTTGCTGTTTCTTTTGTTCTTGGGGTATTTTTGTGGAGAGTTTTTTGGTTTGGGTTTTTGTGTGTGTGTGCGGGGGCTGGAGTTAGTCTTTAGAGGACAGTCACCTAGCTTGGTTTTTGCTATGAAGTGAGAAAGAAGGAAAATCAGTAATGAAATGATGTTTTGTTAATAACCTATTTTATTTGATGCCTAGAGAGCTATTCTTTAACTTGGCAATAGTGCCCTCTAGGGTGTAACAGACAGCTCCCGCAGTACTTTTGTTTTTAGTTTTTGTAGATGATATCTGATATGCGGGCACAGGCCCAGTTCCATGCTTTGACTTACTGCAAGTCTTTCCTTCCCCAGAGGGATGCCAGCTTCTTTCAGTGGCTGCGCCAGATGCTGCATTTGTAATGTTGCCATTCCCGGAGTGAACGCTTCTCAATAAGTGCAGAATTATTATTTACTTTTTATTTGACTTCACACTTCTTCATCCCTTCCTCCAGGATTGATGGAGTTTCATTTCTTATCACCTGCTCCTGTGACTGCATTTCTCACCAAGGTGAAAGAGGCCTCGTCAATAAATAGTCCTCAATGCCAGTGAAAACAGTCTCTTAGCAGGATTAGCAGGAAACTGGTCTGTCTTGCATACTAACGATGGTTTTGTGAACTGGCATCTCATCAGACAGAGGGAGTCAGACCTAAGTAGGTGGGGAGGGGAAACAAACTTGGAAAAATACCAAACATAGTCCTTTTGGTATGTCACCTTGGCAGCGCTACATGGAAAGGTGGGGCAGCCCAGTGACTGGGGGGTTCAGCCTTGTGGTGTGCTTACCGTAGTGAGTTGACCTGATCCTTAATGAGTGAGATGAAGCCAATGAACTGGGAAGTATATATGGATGTCTTTGCTTTTTTAATTATTACAAGTATTATCATCATTATTTTTTTCTTGACTCAGAGGACCAAAGCTAATGGTTTCATTTATACACAGCATTCGCTTCTCTGCTTCGTATCTATTGTTCAGGTTCCTAGGATAACCAGTTTATTTCCAAGGATGGCTTTCAGACCACTTTTTTCAACTATGCAAACAGCTTCTCTGCTCAGCTCTCATCCCATTGAAGCAGCCGTGTGTGGGGTGGCAGGGGCTATGTACTGTCTCTGTGAGAGAGCTTTTGCCAGCAGGTGGAAACCCACAAAGGTTTGCCTCTTTTTGCTGGCTTTGGAAATCACCTTCACCAGCATGTTCCCTCGTAGGGGAGCACTTCCTAAGCTGTGGCAAGAATTAAAGCTTAGGCTGGGACATTGCACCTGATTGACATTGATTTCAATATGTGTAGGATATTTGTGTGTCTTCAATCACCTCACGGGGAAAAGAAATCAGTTCTGAAAGGACAGCAAACTAAAAATGCAACATCACAAGATTATCAATGGGACAGACCTTAAATCTTACAGTACATGAAGATCCTGCAGCAAAAATCCAGCAAAACTATTGTAATTCTTGGACTATGTCGAAAAGAATAAGCTTTATATTTCTACCAAGATATGCTATGTAGAATGGAAGGGCATTTGCAGTCTGTTTTACTTGAAAAGCTACATATTGTTCTGGTCCTCAGCTCACTTACGTATCAGAACTTGCAGGATAACTAATAGCTATGTACCAGGGAAGGCAAATCCACTGAAAGGAAAAACTGATTTATTTAGCCCTGTGTAGAACTGAACATGAATAATGTAATTTTTTCCTTCTTTTTCTTGTCTCAACCAATAAGTGATAGTGTGGAACCTTTGCAGGAGAGTTTATAGTTGAGATATCCAGTTGACTTCTTAAAAACTTGTAGTGTGCAAAAGCAATGAGAGTTTAGAGTGCTTGACTAATTGGGAATTGCAGAATTTAGAGGCCAATTTGGCACTTGGTCATATCACAGTTTACTAGTGCAGCTCATTTGAACGCCTAGTGACACCCTTTAATGACAAGTTTTACAAGGAATATATTAGTGTAAAAATGTGTTAGTCATAAGGACCTATTAGGTGTGTGTATACTGAAGATAACCTACAAAGTACTTTATTTCACATTATGGATATGTAATTCTTACTACCTGCTTTTCTGAGTGAAAAGATACACATATACACCTTAAACTATTACGGTGTATAGAAGATGATTGCACAGACAAAATGTTAAGCCAGTTCTCATGAGGATCATGGAAACTGCAAGTTCCAAATAGTATTTTTAAGTAAGATTTTTTTTCCCCCTTTCAAAATAAGAATGCTCACTTCTCTTTAACATTATAATTAGTATTTATTATAATTCCAGAAAATCAAGACCATTCAAACCACATTTTGTCTTTAGTATGTTCTGTTGTATGCGAGTGTTGCAGAGAGCTGGAGTTCTCTCACTTGGAGCGGCCTCATTTGGGTGGAGATTATTGTTGGAAGTTTGAGCAATAACTCCAAAGCATCATTGTCTAATGAAGTTTAGTCAGTGCTTAGAGTAATTTTCATTAATTTCAATGCCTTAGAGGTAGTGTAGAAACAAAAGAAAGATTTTCCTGTTACTTATTTCTATACCAAAAAGGGGGGTGGGGGGAGAAGTCAAGTGGTTTTCTGAAATCGGCATAATATTTATCTTTCATTTAATGTTGCATTAACATTTTGTTGTCCTTGTGTAAGCTCTGGAATTAAAACATTAGCATTTAAACATGTGAACATTTTCTATGTTTCCCCTGTCGCCTGCTGGCTATTTCTATTTGCTTTAGTGATAATCATTTTTGATTGGTACAAGTGATCCACGCTATTCCCCTAGTACCTGCTCTACACCTGTAGCAGATCCACAGACTTTCTTCAAAGGAGCAGTATTCCCTGACATCATCGTTCTGTAAATTAAAGGAATGGGCGTTCATGAGGGGGAAGGAAGAGCTTCAAGTAAGAAATGTCTTTCGAAAGGCCTTAAGGCTCTGATTGATTACAAGCATTCAGTCAGCCTCATTCACCTCAGACAGTTTCTCTCAGTCTCCCACGATGCAGACTCAAGGGGGGTTGCTGGCATTGTATGCATCTCGCTTTCCCACCCACTTCCTCTCCCATCTCACCCCAGCTTCTCCATAGCGAGACAGTTGCTATGGGGAGAACCCAGACTGAAATGCTGAGAAGCTGCTGGTTAGCTGTAAAGTTGCTCATAAGGAACAGATTCTTTTGGTTTGGCTGTGCAGTTTTACACCTCAGAGCAAATTGCAGTTGCTTTTGATGTAGTTTGTTCTTTCCAGAAAACTAGTGATTCTATACCCCAAAGGTTTAGCTGGCAAATCTAACAAAGTTAACTCAATTCTAGTCTTTTGTGGGGTACTTTAAACAGAGTGAAGTGTCTTTGTGTTCCCTTTCTAGATAGGTAAGACAACAGTTTTTAAAAATGTGGTGGTTCCTAAATGCTAATGTTTGCCAGGTCTGCAACGTAGAAAGATTTTCTTTTTAATCTAATGGAAAGACAAAACAGACCTCTGAGTACGTGGAAATGGAGCATTTTACTGCTAATCCAATTCATCAGTTCAATTTGTAAACGAGATCTCCAAACTGTCAGCCATGTCTTTTTATTTGCAGGAGAAATTTCCTTCATTTATTCAGAGAGCATTACATGTCATTGTCATTACTACACAGTAGCCCCTCTGGGCTGACTGAAAAGGTTCACTAAGCATAAAGCGATGGGAGTTCCCACAGAGGTTTCTGTCTTTCTGTTGGAAATGTATAATCAACTACAGGGCTGGATTACAAATTGGGTTGGGGCTTTTTATTCTCTGGTACCAAATTCAGGAGTTCTCTGCACAGTATTCTCCTAAATGCTGTAATACAGAACAGATGCAGAATTTTGTAAGTGGAAAGTTGCCAGTCTCTATTCGAGTCTCTGCCATTAATAATGCAACATTGGGTAACCCATTCTCCTGCTTTATATTTGAAGATTATTCTACAGAGCTTAAATTGCTGCTGTTACTTTTCTGGGGCAGGAAGGAGAACTTTTCTGCCTGAACTGACATAACCTTTTGTAGCCTTGGTAAGATTCTGATCATGTGAGCACCAAGACGTGGTACCACTGAATAAACATTTCTGTTAGAATGGGCTACTAATAACTTTCCTTGGCCACTCTGGGCATCACACAGTCTCAGAGAAATTGCGTGTTTTCAAACAGAAGTCTTAAAAGTAAAGCCATCTGCCAAATTACCTTTTCCCTTTCAAATTGTAAACCTGAACATTGATTGGTTTGAAACAAAACATCATAATAACAATCAGAGAGAAGGGTCAAGTGGTTTGAGGAGGAAAGATGAAGAAAACCATCATTGTTCTGAAGGCTGAACATCAGACCATTTAGATCACGCTTATGCAGTCTCTGATGGTTTGGAACTCATGTGATGCCCATGAATGAGCCAGTGCTATTCCATTTTGAAGGGAGAAATCCTCTGTTCTCTGGACTTACTAACCAGGTGGCTGGTTGTCTAGGTTGAAGTCTGGAAGAAGCTATTTGACTTTGAAATAATACAGGTTTTTTGGCTTCCAGGAGGAGTTCTGTTACCCAGTGGAATGTCTGTCTCTGACAGTGGAGGAGGTCATGCACATCCGTCAGGTGCTTGTGAAGGCAGAGCTGGAAAAGTACCAGCAATATAAAGATGTCTACACTGCTCTCAAGAAAGGAAAGGTAGGGCTGAGCCTGTGGAAGCTCCAAAGCTTTTTGAGGGAGGCTGGTCGCACAAGCCTCCTATTTACACATTTGTTTCTTACCCTGTATTGGAGAGAAAGAAGAGATATCCACCAAGCATCCCCCTAAATGTATAACACATGGGTCAGCTTCTTGAATTATGTGCAGAAGAGTCAAAACTTTTCATGGAAATACCTTATTTGTTTTGATTGTCTATAAAAATGCAGCAGCATTCACAATTTTCAGACCATGTCTATATGTGTATGTTCTTAAACATCATTGACTGAAGTGATTTCTGTCTCCCTGCCTTCTGCAGTACTGCTTAGCATTTCTATTCCAGAAAATGGAACTACAGATAGCCATAGGAAACTACAGTGAGGTTTTCATAGGAATCTTTACTGTCAAGCAAAAAAGGAATGAAAGGCTTTAGAGAAGTCAGACAATGTATGACCCTGGAAGGAGGTTTGGTATTAGAAAACCCATTAACTAGCGCATTTTTTTCTGTAAACTGCAGATTGGGAATTGGTATTCAACCAGTAGAAGCAGTGTCCCTTTCTCCTACTTTTGATTTGTGCTTCTTGAACACCTCCAGCAAGTGTACTTTGACTTCACAGAGTATTTTACCTACAGGCCTACCTCTGTCTAGCGCACAGGTTTAATTTTAAGCTGTAATATCTTTAAAACAGAGGAGCAAGTATCTTAAAATGTCATTCATTAGATTCATCATGCCTGCTGTCATGATGTATAAACCTTAGTAATGAGCTTTCGTCAAACCTCAAAATAAGTTGATTCTTTAAACTGTTCACTTTTATTTCTAACAAAATTTGCCTAGCCTCGCATGAGTCTCTGGATCTCAGTCTGTCAACTTCTGTTTGACTGCAAAATTTTTCATTGTTCAATGCCTTTCCTTCCTAGAAATGTTCTTAAGCTTGATCCCTATCTTCTCTGAACAAACCGTATATATGGGATTTATTATCCCACTATAAAGCAGTCTGCTCAAATTAACATTGCTGTAACACCTTGTTCCTGCACCTCCTCTAGTTTTAAAGAATGTAGGATAGGAAGAACATCATCAAATGTTATCACAGGCAAAAATTTTGTGCCCCAGAACCTGACCCAGATGGTGAAGAGGGTTAGGCTGAATTTATGCCCAATTGTTCTTGTGTTGTTCAGTTGTAGCAGTAGCCCTTCCTTTCTGCTGTTACTCTGACTTTCCTGTTGCTTTTTTGTGTAATAATGATAAAAAAATCAGTGAGTGAAAAGCAAAAATAAGTTAATAATTAACTGGCAAGTATTTAATTTAGGTAAAATAAGAGTATTTCTAAATATATAAGGATGCAATTCTGAATCATTCTTTTCAGTATCATCTTAGAAGTATGGACCCAGAACTGGGTTTAGTACTGCAACTGTGGGCCTGTTGATAGCAACTGATAGATGCAGTCATTGCTATGCAGGACTTTGCCTAACGTTGTGGACTCCTCTGTTCTTCTTTCAGCTCTGCTTTTGCTGTCGAACAAGAAGGTTTTCTTTCTTTACTTGGTCTTACACTTGTCAATTCTGCAAGAGGTAAATATTTAATATCTGTTAATACATGAGTACCATTTCAGAGGGAAAACCACTGATTTATATGTTACAAACCCTCAAATGTTTCTGCTGCATACTATTGGTTGGTTTTATTTCTATAACAGTCGATGTTAAAAAAACATATACAAAACCAGTTCCTTCCTAAGTGACAGATTTATTCCTTAGGCTGAAACTCTTGGCTAAAAGAGAGAGAAACACTCATTTGTTCTGTGCTTATGGGAGAGTGAGATAAAATTTACTCAGTCTCCCGAACCAACAGTTCTATAATCTCTGTTGTAGGGGAAAACATTCCAAGACCGTTTCCCTTTTGGACTGTATTTGGAGTATTGGTGGGGGGAAAGGGAAAAGGAGTTGTCTGCAAGCAAAATGAAAAATACGAACAGTGAGGCAGTAAGTGAGGAGATCTATAGACTCACTGACTTACTGTCTCACTTACCAAAGGAGGTTTCTTTAGAGGAAGAACAGCTTTTGCTTTTGCTTTTCTCTGGTTTATTTTTAAATTCAGCTGTAGTTCTTGTTTACCATTTCTCCTTGCTTTTGGCTTCATGTTCTGATTGAAGTTATCACATTGGAGAAGCTTTAAAAATAAAATCGAGGATTATAACTCCTGAAAACATTTATCCCTTATTCTTGATTTAAATGTAATTTTTCCCAATGAAATGACTCATGCTTTTGCTTTCTTACACAGGCCTGTATGCTCGCAGTGTTGCAAAAAAGTAAGTAAGTAAAATTTTGGCTAGGGCCATTCTAAAAGGCTGTAATCTTTGTAATGATGCTGCACGTCTCTTCTGCCTTTCTCAAAGATGCGGTTGCCATCCAAGCCATATTCTACTCTCCCCATCTTCTCACTGGGACCTTCAACCTTACAAAGAGGAGAGAGCTTTATGAGGCCAGAGAAACCCTCTACCAGTCACCACCATTCGCTGCGGAGCATGTCCAGGTGAGAAATGACCCCAGCTCACATGTGGCTGTCACAAATGCTTCCAAAGTGTTTCATGTTGGGTTATCAAGCATTAAGGTTCTCTCTACCTGGTTTGCAGTCATCCATGTTTCTAATGCTCGTAGTAACTTTTCTGAAGCCTGAAAATCCATGTCTCTTCCACTCATTGCTTTGATTTAGAGAAAAACAGAACAGCATGTCTTAAACCTTTTTCACATTACAGCTGAAAAATAGACTCTCCTGAGATGAATCTCACAGGCAAGAATCACTCACTGAGTGGGAATTCAGTGATGTCTTGCACAGAGTTATCTTCTGTTTCCTGATTTTGTTTAATTCTAATTTTTTCTGGGTTATTATTTTTTTCACTTAGATATGATGAAGTTACCTACTGGTTTTATATCTTCTAGACAGATGGTTGCCAAAGCTAATCCCAGAAATTAAATATAAAATAAATGCTCTTTTTTGAAGGCATCTTCTGTATAAACCCTCTGCATAAATCACTAGTGTGTGATGCTATGGCAAATTAGCCAAGCATATCCTCTACTTATAGTTATTAGTGAGGTTGGTTTTGCCTAGGTAAATGTTACACATGGACTCAGATAGTGACCCTGCAATCTTGCCAAAGCAGGCAGAAGCTGGTGGCTGGTTGATCTCCTGGTGTCATTTTTGGGACAGAAGAAAGGAAGATTTAAATCAAGACCATTCTGATGTGCTGTTTCCTAAAGGTGTCCCTTGGGTCCCCCTGCCACGCTGCTAAATAATGTGACAGGTCCTGCTCTTTTGCCTTTCAGGTTGACCTCAAGGTCCAAATCTGTGGACAGGTCACATGAAGAGTTTCCCAAAGAGTTAATGGAGGACTGGAGCACGATGGAGGTGTGTGTGGACTGCAAGAAGTTTATTTCAGAAATCATCAATTCAAGCCGGCGCAGCCTATCCCTGGCCAACAAGCGAGCCAGGTTAAAAGGGAAAACACAATCCTTCTACGTGGCGTCACCCGGAACCTCCGAATACTGCCCCTCTGAAAGGACTATCAATGAGATCTGAGCCTCGTGCCTTTTGCTTTGCTATTGTCTTCATGAGGTCATCATCTGTGAGCAAGGTCACTGAAACCGGATCATCATTCCGTTGCTTTGTTTCACGTGACTGGCTTGAATTTGCATTAGATCACAGGATTTCCTGCTGCAGTGGTTCCCAGAGACACAGAACGCGTTGTTTAGATCTCTGTGGGAGGGCACACAATGGGTCAGCTGCTCGCACTGGAAGAAAAACAATAGTTTGAAATCGTTGCCTCTTTTGTATCTATGTGTTGAAACTAGAAAGCCTTTTCTTGCTTTCAGTCTTTTTTTAACCATGCTTTGAATCATTTTCCAGGAGATGAGCTGCAAACGTACCTTTCATGGAGAACCAAATGTAACGAAGCGTCAGTGTTAGCACAGTAGCAAACAGTATGTCATATTGGCATTACCGCCCTAGTAGTGCTCATGTCCTAGTTGAAACAACAAAGGGTCGTATCGCACACCAGACACGGAGCGTGAGTGACTGTGGTCAGACCCCTCTTTCTTTGCACTGTTTTGGTTGCTCTGAGATCAGTGTTCAGCACAGCACTCCACAGCGGCTGTGTCCTGGGGCAAGCTACACGACAAAGCTCTTCACCAGTGTGGTTGCCATTCCCCTGAGCTGCTGTACTTTTTAAGCCTTAGTGTACTTCTGAGTGTCTCCTGAGCAGGTTTTAGTAGTTTACTTTCTATCTTGAATGTATGATGCTGACTACCAGTAGCAGTGAATTTTAGTAGTAGACAGAGTTGTACAGTTTATGGGGAGGATGGGAAATAAGGGAGGCTTCTAGTTGTAACTGACTACCTGTGAAGTTGGTTACTCAGACAAAATGGTGGGTAAGGTGTACATTTGTATTATAATGGAGCACACAAATACTTCTGTAGTTATGGCTGACAGCATATTCACTGAGAGCCCCATTTTTCCTGGGGTTTATAATTTGGCTGTAAAAACTCGTGTTCTCCTGAAATTTGGGACGGTGCTGTCTCAGATTGGGAGCAATCTTTTCTTTAATCCTTCTTCATTCCTTTTCCCTTTTTGACTCGCTCACAAGAGTGCTAGGCTGCTTGTTCAGAAGCTCCAGCAATGTTTCAATGTTAACTGACATCTCATGCTTTTTTGCACTTTTTTTTTTTTATACTCAGAATACTTTTGTTTTTAAATCCAGGCATAGCCAGAGTTTAGGCAATAATTCGGGGCTGGATCTTTTTGGGATTTCAGAGCAAGCTGACGTAGCCAAGTTTCATACTTGAAAATCAACTACTGTAACTTTTTCATAATTTTTTAATACCCTGAGGCATATTTAATATCTATATAGCAGTGTATGATAGAATGACATAGCAGAAAAGTTTCAGATCTATTTATTAACATTTCTATACTTCGGATTAATGAGAGATACCTCAGAATTGCTCCAAAGTAGCTGGGACTGGATTCCCCATAACATGGTTTTAAAGCTGTAGTAGTCAAAACAGATTCTCCTCTCCAAATCCCCCCCTGGTGAGGAACAGTGTGGGCCTGTGGGGCACCAGGGCTGCTTGATTCTACCCAGTGTACAATCCAGGGCTCCAGTCCCACTGCTGGCCACCCCCTGCTGCCCAGGGCACCAAGACTTCTTCTTCAGAGTCTATTTGCATGTTACATTGCAGCCTTTGGAGCAGCCGCTCATATCTTCTAAGCTGATTTGTAAAGCACATGCAAAAGTCACCTTAAACCTTCCCAGGGACTCGCCTGTCCTTAATTTTCTTTAAACACCCCCTTGGAACATGAGAATTTTTGCCTGTGCAGGGCTTATTGAAATAATGGGTTTGTTTGGTTCTGAACCGTTGCAAGCAGGAAAAGCAGGGCTCAAGGCTGACTCTCCTCCATAGCTGTCCCATGTAAGGTGAGGTGTCAGGGCCCCCTCCTCGGGGTACCTCTGGAAAAGCGTCTTGCATGCTGAAGCACCTGGAGTACTGGCATGAGTTGAGGATGTAGGATTGCAGGAGGTGAGCAGCACAGGCTGATTTGAAAGCTCTGCAGCTGCTGGAAGGGTCACCTGATCTCAGTCACATCAGCACTTTTTCTTGTTTCTGTGCCAAAACCTGGCCATGTGTTTGCTGCACGGTGCATCAGGAAAACCAGACTGAAGGAAATGCAGGAAATCTCACTTTGCATCTCCCCTGTTGTTGTTCTGGTCATTTTACCCCGGAAATGTCCCAGCCACGTGTTTCTGTTGCTCAGTCCTCTGCTCGTAGTCCTGTTCTGTGGAATCCTCAAGCCTCTCAGGTGCAGGGTATCCAGCATGTTTATTTTCCCCTTTGAGAGAGATTTAGGCTATTGCAGAGCAGGCAGGACTAAGTAAATCCTGAGTGTGCAGAGTCCCTCACAGCATCCCTGTGCCACCGTCCACCCTGGCAGTGTGCGGGGCAGCTCTCGGGAAGCAGCGGAGCCTGGGGGATCCAGGCTCTGTCTGCCTTGGCTCAGCCTGGGCTCTGCTGTGCTGGGCAGGGCGCAAACACTGGACAACAGCACAGTTGTTGTACGAACTGCTCCGTGTTCCCCACACAGAGCTGCTGCAGGGCAGGGCCTGGATAACCTTCCTTTTTCCCTAGGAACCCTTTGGACTGCTGGCACATGCCATGGCAGGCTCCCAAAAACATGGTACGGAGGGCTGCCTTTCCCCTTCCCTCCCATCCCTTCCTCCCCAGCACAGTTGCTCCACATTATCCTGGCATTTCATCCTGCAGAAGAGCAAGCAGCAGGCTGGTTGGTCAGGTGCAGCTGAAGGAGCTGGGCTCTGCTGGCTGCCGGGCTCGCTGCAGAACTGGCTATTTTTAGCTTTCCATCTCGATGCTTGTGCTCGCATCCCAAATCCGCTGCAGCCATTCGCCTGCGCAGCCTGCAGTGCTGCCCGGCACGTCCTAGTTACGCTCTGTGCTTCACATCAGCGTCAAGAGGATGAAATCAGAAGCTTGTAAATATGTGTAAAATATTTAATACTTAGGAAGTCTCCATCAATCACGCAGTGGGAATTGACTTTCCCATGATGTTTTAAAAAGGAAATGAGTCTTATTTATGTGTATTGGCTGTTATCTTTGTTAGAGTTAAAGCATTCAGCCCCCTAATACAGTTTGCACTCCATAGGCATTTTAGCTGGAATTACTGCTGACAAGAATGCAGGACCAGCACAGAAAGCTCCCTGCCATGAATTTTAAAAACTTCTATTTTGTTTTAGCTTTATCAATACACCCAGGGTCTGTCTGAATATCCCGTAGGAGGCCCAAGGAGTTAAAAATGCCACTGGCAGCATCGGTCTTGTTCTGTGTGTGAACCTGGTGGTGGAGAATTAAGAACCAGCTCTGCTGCTCGCTGGTGATGGAGGAAGTGAGCAGGGCTGTGCTGGAGCTCTCACACCCAGCTTCCAAACGTTCACGGTGACAGTGGTGCTGGGCAGGTTTCTTGGTTTTATCCCTTTCCCCATTACTTCCTTTATACAGAAGGGGTGTTACCCGGCAAAAATAAAAAGCCTTTCCATTATAGCCCTTGTCTGTGTTAATTACTGATGTGGAAGCTGATTTAAAGGTTCTGCCTCTTTCCTTTTTCATGCTTTTATAGTTCTGTAAGATCAGTTGGATAGGGCTTTTGGCAAAGAATTGTTAATGAGAATGATCGAATAACAGCAGAGCACTGGCTGGGCTGCACGGAGGGAGGGAAACGTCAAAGCACTTAGAATAGCAATAAAACCGCTTGTGTAACTCCAGTGATGCCATTAGCGCCCACGCATCGCTCCCAGCCTCCTCCCTCTGTTACCAGTGTATTGCTGCTTCCAGCACTGATGGTGTGTAGCTGAGGCTCATCCTGCATGCAGCACAGGCTTCAGGAGTTCTCCATCCCTCATCTCTGGGAGACAAATGCTGCAGTCTTTTGGAGAAGTTTTTGATTGTTCTGAGTTCTTAAACCAGAAGTGGAGAGAACATTTTTAGCACAACTATTACGTTGTTCTCTTTCAAGCTCTCCTGTTTCCCCAAGGCAAGTTCAGCATCAACTTCCCCAGTTAGCTACTGGCTGCATGCTCTATAGGTTAAAACTAATGTAGAAGTTCCACTTTTAGACTCCTGCTGGCTACCTTCACACTTTACCTCACCCAGCAGCTCTGTACATCTTTTAGAAATGTCTTTCTTATGAGCTCAGTCTCGCCGGTGATACAATGACAGCACACAGGCATGGGGGAACGGTGCTGCGACCACACGCTCTGGTGCTACGGCGTATGGATTATGTTAATGTTACTGTAGAATCTTACAGTGTTTCCATGTTGACAACCTGGAGCTGCTCTGGTTTATTTCTTCTTTTGTATGTATGTATCTTAAGGCCAATCTGAGAATGTTTATCGACTCCAGCTATAAAGATCTGTTTGGTTGTTTCTGTCTGATTTTTACTCCTGTGTTTCAGATTTTGTGGGGTACCTGCTCTTCACCAGAAGTTCCTGGTAGGAGAGCATGAGAGAGGGGCGTTAGCTCAGGCTGATATCATAGGGTCATAGAATAGTTAGGGTTGGAAAGGACCTTAAGATGATCCAGTTCCAACCCCCCTGCCATGGGCAGGAATGCCTCACCTTAGACCACATTGCCCAAGCCTCTGTCCAGCCTGGCCTTGAACAAAATACAACCCATTTCGTGACACACACGTGTCAGTTCATGAGCACTGTCCTCATGGCAGCTCCATGGAGCTCAGCACCCCAGCGCACTCCTGCTGGGAGAGCTGGTGCCAGCTCCTGTGTGCAAAGAGTGGGCGTCAAGTGGCACCACGAGCTCCAGCAGCCCAGAGCTGGCACAAGCAGTGAGATTTTCTGTGCCCCAGGTCCCCATCTTCGAAAATGGGTGACAATGTGGGTACAACCATTTAAAGCGTTTTGAGAGCCGCTGCTGAAGAGATAGATGAATTTTACTACAGTAGTCTGCACTCAACCCATGTCACAGGGCATCACCAGGAGGTGGAGCTGAATAGTTACAAAATAGACACAGCAAATTGTATGTGGTGATGGCTTTGTGTATTTGCACTCGACTGCAATTCAGTGACTTCAGTTTGTTCTTGGTGAGGTTGTTCTTCATTGGCAGTGCCAGGCTGAGCTGAGCTGATGCAGGCAGCCAGGGCTCTGCGGCCTGAAAAGACAACACAAGCTGCTGCAGTCTGCAAAGCAGAACGAGTCTAGAGAAAGCCATTTGGAACATACCTTTTTTCAGGCTGATAGAATCAAAAACACATTTTAAAGCAGATAGATAGTCTTTTTAGGTGCCAGGCTTGTTCATAGGTGGAAAAGACCCAGTAATGCAAGGAGAGGCTGCATGCCAAACAATGCAGAATGGGCTTGTCAGATTGGATTTTAGGGGGCTGTTGAATTGAAGGACATAGGCATGAACTAGTGCAATTTCTGCAGGGGACTGGCTTCCAAGGCTGGGAGGAAACAGGTGCCAACAGAGAGGCTGCATGCTCATGGCCCCTCTTACAGGACAGGTAGAGGCCAAGGCCCAACTTTGGTCTAGGCATTTAAAATAGGCATCCAGCTGTGGAGGGTGGTGGTGGTTACACTCCCTGTGAATCAGAAAGCAAAACAAAGAACAAGGAGGGCATTTGAACTGTATTATTTCTCTTACAGCTGGTTCTCCCTACCCAGGCCCCTCCTTTAGTAAAGGGGAAAAAAGAAAATCCCAAACAGGAGATGCACTTTTTGGACACTAATAGGGACCAAAGCACAAACCCTTCCCCTTTGACTTTCTGCTTCTGTGCTGTCACTGCACCTATCAGTGCAGCTTCAGGTACACCAGGGGCATCAGCTCTGATAAAGAAAGGCAACAGAATTGTCTTCTGCTTGTTTTCATGTTATGTGGTACTGAAATGAATTTCTTGTTTATGCATTACTAATAAAAAGTTCTTTAAAATGATACTGCATTGCTCACACTTTCTTGAGCCAACCATGGAGACACTAAACACCCTTCCTTACACTGCACAGCTGGTAAGGGCGCATTCCACATTTGTGTGGGCAGGTAGAGCCCCAGACCTTTGCTGCTGCAGGATTTAACAAGGTTAGACACAAAGTAATAGAAGAATAAGAAGGGGAAGTATTGTGCCAGCAGGGACCCAAATGAGGAACCCTTACTGAGGGTTTTACTTGCAGGTGCCTTCTAGTAAAATGAGAATCATGCCTCAGTCATCTCCACTGTGGAAAAATGAAGAGGACAGGACTTGTGCTTCATAAAAATGCCTCTTCACTGAATAAATCCATAGCAAAAGCATGACCCAGATCTGGAGCTGGATTAAAAGGCCACTCCATAACCTGCATGGCTCTGACCAGTGGCAAGTGGTGTGGGTGGGGTAAGAAGAGAGCTTATGAGAGAAATCAGGTCTGATTTACAAATCAGTTTAGATGACTTCTTCCTGTTAACCACAAAATGAAGCAGCTGCTGGACTCAGTTCAGGCACACAGGATGCCTGCAGAGCTTTTGACCAGTAGGATGTGTGGCTTGCAGCGAGGTCCTGGGCACCTGGTATTGCTTACAGGGTACTGCTGCTTACCCAGCACACACTGAGCCCAGTAAATTTTCTTGAGCCTTCTCTGAAAACCAACAGCCCATTTCACATCTCAGCAGTTACACCCAGAAGTGTTTTTTTAAGTGGAGGATGTCATTTATTTAAGATAGCACCATAGTGTACACAGACACTTCACAGAGTCCTGCCCTTCACAGCTCACAATCTAGGAAGATACAAGAATAGGAACAGTGTTACCCACTGCTCCACCTGAGGATGTAAATGAAAAGTGTCACATCACAGAATGTCACTGGTCATCTCAGTGCTCCTTCATTACATCATCAGATACAGCAGCTCCTGGTACACCTTATGTGCTGCAGTTCAGTGCCTTCCATTGTGATAAGCGTCTTTACAGAATACCACAACTTATGCTAGGATTGCCCCTTTTCCTAACAAATATGACTTTTCTCTCATCATGCCTGCTGACCTGCCTGATGGGGTGAAAAAAGCAAGCAGGGTGGGGAAGCATGGAGGACTTAGTGGTACAAGGACAAGTCAGGAAAATAAGAAAATGGATAATCTACACAAAACCCATTACACACAAGAGCATCTGATTACACTGTTTTAGGTTAATGCTTTTTGTTGCTAACATGAGCCTGTCTGCACTAACATGAAAACCAGACATTAACCAGAAACCAGAGTTTACCTCAAGCCTGGCATCTTCAACAGCTTTAAGATCCTTCAGGGCCAAGTGATCACAAACAGGCCCATTTGCCATGCTCCGGGAACCACTGCTGCCATGCTCCCTCACTATTTCCCTGCAGTCATCCTTCCAACTTCATCCTTCTCCAGCTTCATCCTTCCACAGCAGGCATGTGCAAGACAGCTGCAGTTACTGGGGAGGGTGAGCAGCCCCACTTCTCACCAAGCTGCAGACCCAATATGCTGGCACTAACTCCTTCAAATCAAACCACCTCCTTACACCCAAACCCCCACTCCCTTTCTCTTGAATTGCAACCTAACGGCTGAGAAACACTGAACTGCAAACCTCAGTGCCTTGAACAACAGGAGCAAACATCCTCCCTTCCCAACACACAAATCTTTAATCCTGTTTTCACCCCGTCAAGTGCAGAGTTCTTACTCAAAACGGCACTTGCCACCTGTTAATGAGCATGGCTACATGTGCTGAGCTTCCTTCTCCTTGGTCCTTCCCCCAGTCCCACAAGCAACCTAGCACTTCCCCTCACATGCAGCTTTCTGGCTTTGGTAGACACCTCTGTCAATGCACATGACACAAAACTGACTTCAGAAATATTTTTAGCCACTTCCAGTAAATAAAGATAGGGATGGACCAAGAGAAGCAATTACAAAGGTAGGGTTTTTTTTTCACCAAGGGTCAACTCAGACTGTAACAGTGACAGAACTGGAGTGCTTCAGAAACAGTGTTATGCACAGTAGGGCTGAACATATAGGTACAGATCGTATCAGATCCCATATAGAAGAGTCACATGGTCAAGGAAGAAGAAGGGTGGGTGCCCCATATCCAAACTAGATGGGCAGAAAGCAGGAGAGTAAAAGTGCACGTGAAAGCTAACAGGAAATTAAAAAGCAATTCACCTGCTAAACATTGGAGCCTGCTTGGTCCCAAGTGTGAGCACTGGTCCTTTGTACACAATGGAAAAATGAGCAGCCACGGAAGGTGCAGCAGTGTCACCTAGCCCAAAGACAAGGTGAGAGCAGCAGCACTGCCCAGCAATGCAGACAGGCAGCTGGGTGATGGAACTGGCTTCTGGAGGAAATCAGTCTTTTTCCTACCCAAAGTTTCCCCACTCCCATTTAGCCTAGAGAAAAGCAGAAAATGACTGAGCACAAGCAGGCAAGGTAGCGATCCATAGCAAGTGAGCTGCAGACAAACTGGACACAAGAAGCACGAAATGCAGAGTGGAAGCAGCCCAAAATCAGTGGGGAATGAAACAGAACAGAGATGCTGCAACACAAATAGGTAAGGATTTGTTTCTGGAAGAAGGAAACAAAGTGCAAAGCATGTAATCCAGAAAACTGATGGATAATTAATATTGACCCAAGGTGCAGCAGAGGAGTTTGGCCCTGAAGAGAACATAGGAGCCTGTGGTGGCTTTCCTGGGACACCAGCTAGTGCTGGTAGGTGCTATACACAAATCAGGTTTAAGACAACACTAAGTAACTATTTCAAACCTGATGCAAGAAGCAGCTTTAGACAATCCTTCTTGCAAAGCAAAGCAGTACATGAACCTCTCCAAAGACTTTTCTACCCCGACAGTTATGTTTTCATCATCTCCAGTAGGCATGTATGGAAATGCTGCAGTACAGGTTTCCACATGCACAGACACTTACTCATCTTTTCCTTTCGTTTGTAGAGCTCAGCCATAGCTGCACTCCCCTTCCCAGCTGAATGCCACCAGGAGCTAGAACATCTTCTGCATTCCTTATCCAGGAAGTGGCATCACTCCTCTGGGAAGCAGTCAGCAACTGACCTGCACCAAAGCTATCCAGTGTGTCTTCTGGAAAGGAGCTGCTGTCAGTCTTTAAGCTCTAAGTTTCTGTTCCAAAATAAGAAAGACTTTAGGTCCATATAAAAAGAGCAGTGTAAATGTTAGCTACTAATTTAATTGCTTTGAACTAATATGTACATACGTACTTTTAAATTTAGTTTATTCATTAGGATCATGTAATTTAGTGAGACTACAGTTACACCCAAATTAATGTTCACTTTCAAACTACCCAGAATACAAACGCTGAAACTTCCCTTAAGCTACAGACACTGTAGAATTACCAGATCAAAACAGTGACCAGCACTTTGCTCTTCTAGTTTTTTTAGAAGTTACTCATTCTCTTTAACAGCTTCCTAAACACCTACTTGCCACTTGAATGAGTAAACATCCTTGCAACACTTAGCTCACTTTGTGTGAACACCAAAAATAGGTTAAAATGCCCTAACCACATATACTATATCTGGACCAAATATGAAAACGTTGTGAACATCAGAGAAGGTTAGGACTGGTACCTATATATTTCTGCACGCTTTATAGGAAGCAATTTCACAGGTACCAGAGTACTTTTCCAGATAATGAGAAGTATTTAAAATTATCCTAAAATCATTTTGTACCAATGTGGAAAAGCATTGAAAAAAATCAGTTACGCTGGTAATCAGTAGTTAGTAAAAGTGCTCAAAAAGGAGAGTCCATTTATTTTCCTTGTAGTCCCGTTTTCTCCATTCAGGGCACGAAAAGTGCATGTTCATGAAACTTTACCATCCCAGATTTCCTGCTTATTCCTCATTTCAGCTCTTCTGTTTATTGCATCAGTCTCTCCTTCAGTTAAGACAGGATGTGAAGAGCAAGGATCAGTGGAACAGCACAGTCTATTAGTTCAAGTAGCCCTCAAGTACCCTTAGAGATAAATATGAGAAGTATTTTCCAGCACCTTCCAGGAATTACAACTCCTCTCCTCATAGGGAGGGGAGGAACTAGGGCAAGTTAATAAATATGGAAATAAATTATACCCTTCTCCCCACCAGAAAACTGGTTTAGGCTATTAACATCAATAGAAACTTTATCTTTGTTTGGATACAAACATCTGAGAGGTAAAGTATCCCTGTGTCATGTTCAGGCAGCACTTTCAAACAAGATAAGAAAAGTTAGTACCACACAAGTTTTAGCTTCTTGGGATGATCCTCTCGATAAGGTATCTAATTCTATCATGTTTTGACTCAAGTAGTTCCCTTGAAGTGTCTTAAGACACTATCAGATTACAAAGCAGACAAAATTCAGTGCTATGGTTCCTATCAACCCTTCACAGAGTGAATGTTCACATGGAAAACTTACTACCACACATGCATTCTTTTTAAGTTCGAGTACAAAAAACCCAAGATGATGTAAATATAACATACTTCTGAATTTTGTTAGAAAAGGCACATTTAGGCAGTTTCAAATGTGCTAAATGTTTTGTTTCCAGTGTTAAAAATAAATGGTTTAAATAAAAAGAGCATCTGCAGGAGGTCAACAGTAGGCAACAGGAGCTGCTGTGGAGATGACAGATGAGGTTACTTTTCTGCTAATCCAAAATTCTTATAAATATATAAAACTTGTGCAGATCAGCCTTGGCAGGGAGATCTACAAAGCAGTCTGGAGAATAAGACTCTTCTGTCACTTCCCTGGAATTTTTGGTTTCATTTTTCTGTTGATGCTGCTGCCATGGCTGGTTTCATCCCCTCACGTGTTGACTTCAGCTCCTCCAATTCTGTGTTTAGTTTGCTGATCACCCATTCCAGGGCATCCCGACCCTGCCAGGAAAATACTGGAATTTAGGATCAGAACACATACACCACCACTGCTCATGTTTCTATAGTTTTTCCTCTGTCAGACATGGAATTTGTTTTCAAATTAATTTCATGCCCTGCATAATTTAATACCAGATTATACTGATAATTTCTTAGCATCTTCTGATGGAAATTTCACTGCAAAGGCATTTGCTTAAGCCATAAGCAAGGAGTAAATGCAATATTGCTGTGTGAGCTCCCAGCAGCACACCTCAGCAAAAAGCCTAATTCAGCAGTTAAGTTACCTTATGTAAGGTTGAGGCTGTTTTTACTGTTTGCTGCTCCCAACTCCCACAGAATATCAGCAAATTTATGGCAAAGCCTAGATCCTATTCTCAGATTCATTGATCAGGTTACATGCGCAGGTTTTGAGAAGATCCAGGACAAAGAAAGAAAGCCTTCCAAGTGCTCTTTGAAGTAGTAACAACTGATTTGATACCTAGCAAGAGTTCAGAGATGGACTCACGCTGAAGTCTACATACATGCACAGTAACTTCCAGCATGTAAAACAGACTAACTGGGAGACTACAGTTGCGTGTTTCATATCAAGGTATGGTCTTTCTCTGTTCAGTTCTCAGAGTCGGAGTGCTTCAAAGCTGGACACTGACAGCCAATGCTTTAGTAAGAGCTGGGGAATGCAGCAAGATAAGCATGTAAAAAACCTTTTACCTTAAGAAGACCCTGTAGCAGCTGCACCCCAATGACCACAAGATGAGCATGCAGCCAGACACATGATGAAGGCAAGAATATAAAGAGAAGCACTTTAACTAAATAAAAGTGTAAGATTTCAGAGCTCCACCATCGCAGAATAACAGCCTTTGCCAAAACAAGCAGATGGCATCAGAGCAGGAAAATGCCTGACCTTCTTTCTCTTAAAGAGAAGCCAAGAGACATTCACCTCTCTTACCCTACCAAGAGTAAGAAGTACAAACTGTGGGGAGCAGTAACTGGGAGCCACAAGGCTTTGGCCAAGTCTAGAGCAGTTCTGGAGATAAAGGGTCTGAGCTCCCAAAGTCCTAAGCCTTCAGGAGAGCCAGTGTCAGTGTTCAGGTCCTCTGCAGAGATTGAGGGAAAGGAGAGGAACACCCCTCCGGGCACACAGAGTTTTGTTCTGAACTATGATAGACTATTTTCATTGCATGCGTTAGAGGCAATAAAGTGAACAAAAACCTCATAAAGTGTTCAGAACCTGCCATTGCTCATTATGAACTTCTAAGCAAGAAGCTGCATAAAGAGCTTTGAAAACCTCAAACAAACAAGTCAAACCAAAACCCACGCATACTTTTGAAGCATTTTTTTTGTGTCTAGAAACATTACTCTGGAATAATATAAAAAAGCCCAGTTCCAGGCTGCAGTGTAGTCTATTAAAAGAAATAAAGACTCTGTTTCTCTGTACGTTTTTCATATCACAGCAACTTGCTGAGCAACACTAATTGCTATGATATCTGCACTGGCAGGCAGATCTCAGAAAAGTCATCTACATATCACAACATTCAGCTCTCGGCCAGAGCTCAGAAAGGGGCATTCAGCTCTACCCAGAAGAGAACTAGTCATGAACTAGTATGTTTAACTTAGTTTAAAATATGTTTTTAAGAATACTAAGAATATTCAATAAAGTGTGATTTAAATTGTCCAGTTTAAGCTAGAAAAAAATCATTAGACTTGGGTTGCTAGAAAAAGTCATTAGAAGAGTATGATTTCACTTCTGAGATCCTTCCATTTGAGCATGAGATCGACCATGCTTCAGCAGGTGGTAACTTCCACCATCCTGTGCAAGACCTGGAGACACCAGCAAAGCATGCATAAGAGCACCCAGGCAGGAGTAGCCATGAATTAGCTGAGTGAAGTGCTCGGTAAGGAACAAAGTGGGGGGAGAGAGTGGGAATCATCTTTCAGTAAGGATGCATTTAGATATTTAAAAGTCAGGTTAAAACGTCCTGTCTTCGGTGACAGGCACAGAAAACTGAGTAAGCCAGCAACAGCTTAGATGTATATGTCTAATTGCATGTAGAAGACCTGTCAGAAAGTCAAACAACTTTGATGTAGAAAATGCTCAGTAGAAAAAAACTAATTAAACCATAGTGGTTTAGTTGATATATTTGTTGATAAGATAAAATGAATCTAAAAAATCCACGACATTCAAGTGAAGCATCAAGATATTTACTTCAGGTTTTGAGACTACCCAGGTCTGCACATCTCTTTAGACCTGCATACATGATATACTATAGCTTGCAGCTAAACTTGTGATATTGGCAAGCAAGACTGCAGCAATATTCTGCACAGGCAATTAAGTTACAAATCTCAACCAGATGCAAAGGCTCCAAGTACTGTAGGACTGACCAGTTACTAGAAAAAAATCTGACAGAGGATTGGTCTATAAAGTTTCACACTGCACAACAAATTCTGTAGTAGGCAATCAAGCGAGCACATTCATAACAAAGCATGCATATTATATTAGTCTTTATTGCATATGTTTGCAGTATGATGTGTTTGGCAGACCAAAGGCTGCATATGAAAATCTGTTGGTGGAGCTTAAGTGACTGATAAATGCTAAGCCTTTGGAGTTGATGTTTTCCAGATAAACAGCCATAAAAGCTTAGTGGAATGAGAACGTAAAAGCAAACACTGAGGGCATACACTGATCTCAAAGTACGCAGTGTAGAAAACCCCATGTTCTTAACTAGGGGAAGCAGCATAATTTTTTTTTTATTTTTTTTTTTTTTAAGGAATCTTATTAGTTCAAGCATAAGCCGATACAGGAATGACAGAGACAGGCTACACTGACTAGTGGAAGGAAAACAGTCTGCACAGAGGCAAGTACACTCAGTTCTCTCAACCTTGAAGTCACATTTTTTCATAGTCACATCGCTTGAGGGACACATCACTACCAAAATGAATGTAACTACAAGAGCAATGGAAAACATGAACAGCCTGGCATTCTGGCAGCTTCAAGCTTCTTACAGGCTTCCACAGAAGTTCACAGAAGGGCAACAATATTCCTTAGGCATAAGAAAAGCAAATACAATTTCACTCTGCAAAAGATCACCCCTGTTAGGCAATCTGTTTCAATAAATTAATTTTCTACCCTAAGATACAATTCTGTTTTATTTTTGTAATGCCAATTCCAGTCACTAACCAATTTATTATTTTCTTCAGGTGTCAGTTTGACACTGAAATCACAGAAACTAGGACCAGATCAAACACATGCCTGTATCTGCAGTCATCATTCCACTTTCATTGGAAAGCAGTACACTGTGGCACAAGACAGGCCTGCAGCAAGCTGGCTGTCCAGTGGCACAGGATCCAGCCTAGATCTGACCTACTCCCACTCTCTGCAGCTGCAGTGTAATGAACATTTTTGCCATTCCTGTATGCAATGTATAGAGCATACATGCAGGTTAATTTACGAAATTCACATGACAACAATCCATGCACATATTTGCTAGAAAGCTGAAATGCTGTACCAAGAAGAATGCTGGCATTACCACTAGTTAGTAAACTGGAGATGTGGAGCACTGCTAGCTTAGAGCGCTTTCAGAGTTTTGAATTATCCACTCAATAGCATCCCACCCCTGGAGTAACACAAAAAAGATTTACAATGTATGGCAAATGATTTTCCATCATCAGTAAAAATAATAATGCATCATCTGCCACTTCTAGCTCAGAGCAAAATCTCAACACGAACTTCCTATTTCTTCAGAACAATAAAACATTTATCAGCAATGTTTATGAAGTTTAAGTGGGGTGCTAAGAGCACAGAGGCACAGCACTATATGCAAGAAGAGCTAGTAATAGCAGAGTAGGTTTCTGGCGAGCAAGAAAAGGGCTGGTGGGAGCAAGTATAAATTCCTGTCAAGTTCAAATCTAAAGAGACTTTTTAGTGAATCACACAGGACAAGGGTTTTTTTGATTTGCAAGAAGCTTGTAAGCCAGTGTGTTCCTTGAAGAACAATCTTTAAAACAAATCAAGCTCTGACACAGGCAACACCTGAACAGGTACCAAGCAATATTCACACTGTTTCTCTGAGTTCAGTAGAGACATGCAAATGTGACAGATGCCACAAGAAGAATTCAGACAGCACTTTAAAGTGTGCCTAGTTGATCTGGCCATTCCAACTAGCTAGTGCTTTGCTACCTCCAAGTCAGCCTGAAGTCAGGTTATGAGCCAGGGTTTGGACTTCTTTTTCAAGAATATATGACCTTCACAGACTTTTAAATGGAAACTGGATCAGAGAAGAACTGTAATTTACCTGAAATACATTCCATTTCTGACTTTCAAACACAGAGAACATTCAGCTAGTTAAAGTTACTCTTCTTGTGTCTAGAAATTACTCCTTCCCCATCTCCCGATTTTAACCTGTTTTCCTTTCATTTTTGGAGAAGCACACAGGAAGGAGGAAAAGGAATCTCTCTCCTCTATGATCTAGTTGGTCAATGTCTTCTATCAAGTTGACTTACACTGCCTTGGCCAAGCAACATCTCTCACAAGGACAAAGGGCTGGCCAAAGCACAGGCTCCCTGACATAGTAAGAGTTACCTGGGCCAGATTCCTACTATGCTGAGCCTCCCCAGCAATGCGGAGTACTAACTCAGATTTCATGCGCACTTGTCCTGCTGTTAAGCAGTGATGCCTCTGCTTCTCTAGCAACTCCATTTCTTTCCCACCTTCCCCCAAAGCAGTACAGGATGAAATTCCCAAGAATAAGCAGTCCCATAGCTCTGCCTGTGCTGAAATGCAGCTCCATGGCTGCAAGCCAAGTAGAAAAAGCAACTGCAAGACAGAGGAGTTGGTGTAGTATTATCTACAAAAGGAAGCATAGTTTCACCTCTTCAAAGAATGTGCCTCTGCTTATATTATATTACTTGCAGCAAAGGCAAGGAGACAGCTCAGTAATGTACAGTAACTGGAACAAGTGGCAAAGCAGCATAGATAATATGCTAGCATTAACTGTTAAATCCAGATTATAAAGGCTGAAAAGAAAGTTATAGAATCATAGAATAGTTAGGGTTGGAAGGGACCTTAAGATTATCTAGTTCAAACCCCCCTGCCATGGGCAGGGACACCTCACACTAAACCATGTCACCCAAGACTCTGCCCAGCCCAGCCTTGAACACTGCCAGGGATGCAGCATTCACAACCTCCCTGAGCAACCCATTCCAGTGCCTCACCACCCTCACAGTAAAGAATTTCTTCCTTATATCCAATCTAAACTTTCCCTGTTTAAGTTTTAACCGGTTACCCCTTGTCCTAGGGGTACAGTCTCTAATGAAGAGTCCCTCCCCAGCATCCCTATAGGCCCCCTTCAGATACTGGAAGGCTGCTATGAGGTCTCCACACAGCCTTCTCTTCTCCAGGCTCAACAGCCCCAACTTTCTCAGCCTATCTTCATAGAGGAGGTGCTCCAGTCCCCTGATCATCCTCGTGGTCCTCCTCTGGACTTGTTCCAACAGTTCCATGTCCTTTTTACATTGAGGACACCAGAACTGTACACAATACTCCAAGTGAGGTCTCACGAGAAAAATTATGTTCACTACTAGGACTAACTCCTGGAAATAGGAAGTTAGTGTTTAAAAAGGTGCTTTGGAAGAAAAAAATACCAAAAACCCAACAAAACAATACCAACTAGCAGTGTGTATATGCTATATGTATATTATGTAGCATGAACACAGAAGTTTGTTCTGCTGTGAATTTCTAGTTAAAAAACAAAAGATTTCGTAGTGAAACCTTTTCATACTTTGGGAAATTACATTCTAGTTGCTGAGTTGAAACTGTGCACAGAGTTCAGCGAAATTAAATGTAGTATTCAGGACATGTGATTGACATTACTATTTAAAAAAAAAAAGGTAGGAGTGGGAAGAGAGAGAGAGAAAACAGAATAAAGATGTACCTTTCTGGCATTGGAAGATATTGTGTTTGCCATTAAGCTTTCCAGATAACTGCTCAAGCTAATGCCTTTAACAGTAATAATTGCTTCTTGAGTTAGCACAGTTCTGTAAAAGAATAAAGAAAAGTTAACACCTAAAGTGAACTGGACTAGCATAAATGTCTCCTATGTACAAAAAAGCACAAAAATATCCTTACTTACTTTTCAGGGTTCTCAGGATGCGGCCTGTAAACCAGTCTCTCATCAACAGACACTAAGTTTGTGAGAGTAATCTTAAAAAGAAAAAATAAAGCTTAAATCCTCACTTCCCTTTCATTTTTCTGTTATCAACAGCACTACTCAACAATAGATCACCCAATGTCAGAGACAGAGCAGTGTGAATTGAATATAAAATCCAGAACACAGTCAATAAAAAGACCTATAAAGGGTGATGGATCTTCTCCTGTTCTAGATCTAATTATATCAGTCTAACTGCCTATTCACAGTTCGAAGCACAAGCAGCTTTCCATTTGTTTTCTCTGAATGTTGAGTCTTATCTGATTTATGGCATGTGACCCAGAGAGGCTCTTCAAGACCAAGACCACCGTAACACTATTTGGACAGTACAGAAAACTAATACTCCAGAAAGACAATGCATCTTGTACAGAGACAATGTTCTTCTACAGACAACTCTACTTTAAATCTGATAGTAACAAGTTCCCAGGATACAGCATTATACTTCATTTACATCTTGAGAAAAAAGGCATTTCAAGTTATCACTTCTGTTGTAAATGGCAGCATAATGTAGAACAAATTATTCATCTAAAGTCAAACTACTTCATAGGAATTCTGAGAAATAGCCTTTAATTAAAAAAGAATCACAAATGTTTGATCCCAAAGTATTTAAAGTTTCCTATTTGTGGAAAGAAGAAGGAGGAATAAAAAAGAGCCAGCTAATATGCCAACTAAGATGTGGAAATTGCCACCTCCTGATAAAAGATGCAAACACATTCCTAAATGTTAAGAGCAAAACATCTAATCTCCAGATCGAATTACCAGTAATTTCTTAAGCTACCACTCACATTAGTTGAGCAAAGCTCCATCTTTTTTTCCACTGGATCTACCACAGAATGTTCCTCAATGTAAGTCAGAGTTCTACTTGTTCCTAAAATCTGAAAAGGAAGAAATAAAAAAATAAAGTTAAGTACTAAAAACAAAACAAAACAAAAAAGCCTCTGAAACACAAAAATGTTAAGTTTCTAGTGGCCCTAAATAAATAGAAGTAATCAACGGATACCACAACAGTGGGATCACTGGCAAGACTACATCCTTGCAGATGGCATCAGCCATATAGCACGACACAGACCAGTCTGGAAGGCATGTATAGATATACAGACTGGATAGACATATAAAGCCTACAACATATTCTCGCCACTAGGTACACTAATTACAGCTTATGTGATATTGATTGTACTGCCTACAAATTAAGCTTTTACTTTGAATTCAGCTCCAGTTCTGGTGACCACATAAAAATGCATCACAGCCTTACTAAACCATTATGACTGTCAAAGCGTACCGCTTTTACAATACTTGGCAATCCCCACTCTGTGCTGAGGAGACGATGGCTATGCAACCTCCCCTGGTTATCAAGGGTTCTGTCAAGGACATCCACTCCTACCACACACGGATTCATTGGGTTGGGGTACTTTCTCATAGCAGCTTTGATCACTGTATCCCAGGGGTGTCTGTAAAAAGGAGACAGGATTTGTAACCATTTTGCATTCAATTGCAATTATTTAGACAATAATAAACCAGGGATCTAGGTTGTGTAGTATGGCACATGTTGTACAACTCCCTAGCTCCCAGAAGTCCCTTCAGAATACAGCAGTGCTTGGGAAAGGAATAAGAAAGTATTGACACACAAACAGAAAAAAAAATAATACTCCTTTTTCCAGAATGAAGAAAGGAATTGTTAACCCAAGACTAACAGAAATGACAGCAAGGAGCAACAGTCACAAATTACTATATGTAACATTCCAATTAGTTGTGCAAAAGCCCCACAATGACAGGGTAGCTGTCCACAGAGATGGCTCAATCTCAATGCATTTGAGAGCTTAACCAGAAAAGCCACCTGACCTAACATTTAAGTATAGCCTTGCTTACACCAAATAAATTCAAGAAGAAATCATTAGCTTCTGTTTCTTCCTGTAGCAAAAACGCAAAGCAAAATTTAATTCAACTAAAAAAAAAAATTAATCAAGAAGTTCAAAATAAATAAACCCCCCCAAAATCAGATTTTCAGAAACTGTATCAGCTCACTGCCTTAAGTGTGCACTTATACTACCGCTTCCAGCAGCTTGTTAGCTCTCAACACAGAACTGCGTTTATGAAATAAGTTTTGATAGTTTCAGGCTCCTGGGATCAGAGCAGCCCCACTCCTGGAGGCCAGGCTGCCCACACGGCTCTTGTTGTGGGACTTTATGTACCTTCTGAAACAGAGGACAGAGAAATTATGGCCTTGATCCACTACAGAAATTCTGCCCGAAGCAATGATTTCTACATTCAGAATAACTTATAGATCAGGAACAAAAGGTTTATAACCTTTAGAAGTACTTTTAAAAAATTAACTACTGGTGTCTAAGTTAAGAAGGCTTAGGGGTGCCAACTTGTATGTAAGATTTGCACTTAGGGCCCTAAATGGATTTGATTTTTAAGAACACTACTTTTAGTCTTCAAATAGATTGGTACAGAAGGGCATCAACTGTACACCACTGCCAGAACAAACAGAAGCTTGGGAAAATAAGTTCCAACAACAGTGAGAAAAGGTCTTTTGGCTCTATTGGTAGAAGCAGGAAAAACAGAGCCCACAGTTCCTACATCAGAGGAAGAGCTGGAGGACCATTCCCTGTTATCTTCAGTGACTGTACGTCACAATCAACATAAGAGTCACAAACAGAAAATGATAACTTTCTGCTAAGTGTCCTTGAGGGATCTGATAAGGCACAACAATATTTTATTAACGCCTGAACTATCTAATCCCGCACACATGACACTGTAAGATAGAGGTGCTCCAGTATAGATCTTGATGAGAAAATACCAAATAAAAATCAGGTTTCACAGGTGTCAGATACTCATCTCAAACCCAGAACTTACGCCACATGCAAGCAGCCTTTACAAGCCTCTGCTTGCCATTTCATATTAGAAGCTACAGTTTGAATTCACAGAATCATAGAATAGCTTGGGTTAGAAGGGACCTTAAGGATCATCCAGTTCCATCCCCTCTGTCTTGGGCAGGGATGCCTCTCACTAGACCAGGTTGCTCAAAGCCCCATCCAGCCTAGCCTTGAAAATTCAGCTGTGCTAATGTAATTAAGGAAGTTTAAAACGGCACATACTTTAAGAACTATCACCTCTGATGCTCTTCAGGATTTGAGTTTTAAGAGACCTGTAGCAGATGAGTTCTTGGTGGCAATTAAAAAGCTGCACTGGAACTGCTGCATCCTCAGGTCAGCTCCCTGGTAAATCTTGTGACATACCTGTTGATGTGTAACAGTAACCTTTTGCTTACTGCTCCCTTGTTACACAAAAGTGGAACTGGATGGCCAGAACCGGGTTCAAAGTGTCTTCGATGTGGAAAAAGACTGACAGTAAGAAAACTTACTCAATTATCACTTAATGTGTGTCTGCTAGGCATTTCTCTGAGAGTATCTGACAGCTAAGGTAAGATACACCGTCCCTCTGTCCACACCTCTTGGAACACATCGTTAAGTACGTCAGTAGTTTGGGATTTATGTTTTCTTTTGATGCGAAAAATGTTTTTCTTTAATTACCCACGTCTTTCCCAAGCAGTTCGGCTGTGGGACCACCCCCATCACTACCACCGCTAGGTGGAATGGCATTTCCAGCCGCAAGCGGTGGGAGAAACTCTCGCACGGAAGCCCGACCACGCAGGAGAAAGAAGCTGAAGGTGATGAAGGACCCTCAGCGGGGGAAGCACTGACACACCGCCAGCCCACCCCGTCACCGGAGGGGTTTAACGCCACCACAGACCAGTCCCCCGTCCTCCCCCACCCGGGTTGCCTGTCAAGCCTTCGTGCCGGTTTAACCGGTCAGGAGCTGCCGCTCTCAGCCTCCTTCCTCCAGCCGCACCCGCGGCACTTCCAATTTCCGCCCTCACCCAGGCAGGGCCCGGCCCGGCCCACCCCAGCAAGGCGCCGGACAGCCGGCGGAAGGAGCGATGCCGCCGACCAACTGCCGCCGGCCGCGCGCGGCGGACTCGGTCCCCCCTCAGCCCTCCCCGCCCGCCCGGCCCCTCACCCGAACACATGCTCCGAGCTCCAGATCTTCATGGCCGCCGCAGTCTCTCCTCACGGCCGGAGGGAAGCGAGGCGGCAGAAGCAGCAATCCACGCTCAGCAGCTCCTAACAGCCCCGCGCCTGCCTACCGGCCACCGAGCGCCAACCGGGGGGCGGAGCTCCGCGGGGCAGGCGCTGGGCGTGCCCAGCCGGCTCGTGCGTCACGCGATTCCGTCACCGCCTCGCCTTGCCCCGCCCACTGCCGCCGCCACCGCCGCAGAGGTTGGCGCGCAGGCTGTGAGGCAGCCGTGCGGGGGTAGCAGGCAGTGAGATGAAGTGTGTGTTGAGGAGTGAAATAGTGACGCTAAACGCCTTAATTCACCCAAAGGCCTTTGCACGAAGTGACTTTACAGTGGGCACCTCCACGTAAAATGTGTGATATAGGGAAAACAATCCCTCAGGAGACAAGTTGTCTTCTTTCCGCCAGGCTTTGTTGAACGTTACCACAGGATAACAGATATCACTGCAGGTGATAACAGTTCAGTACGTGTATGGACACCAGTGACAAGTGGCATCCCTCAGGGGTCTATACTGGGACCAAGTACTCTTTAATATCTTCATCAGCAACATAGTGGGATTGGAGTACCTACAATACTTGTGCAGTTCTGGTGTCCTCAACATAAAAGGAACATGGAACTGTTGGAACAAGTCCAGAGGAGGGCCACGAGGATGATCAGGGGACTGGAGCACCTCCCCTATGAAGACAGGCTGAGGAAGTTGGGGCTGTTGAGACCGGAGAAGGCTGTGTGGAGACCTCATAGCAGCCTTCCAGTATCTGAAGGGGGCCTATAAGGATGCTGGGGAAGGACTCTTCATTAGGGACTGTAGTGATAGGACAAGGGGTAACGGGTTAAAACTTAAACGGGAAGTTTAAACTGGATATAAGGAGGAAGTTTTTTACTGTTAGGGTGGTGAGGCACTGGCACAGGTTGCCTAAAGAGGTAAATATCCCTGGCAGAGCTCAAGGCCAGGTTGGAGAGAGCCTTGTGTGAAGTGTCCCTGCCCATGGCAGGGGAATTGGAACTAGATGATCTTAAGGTCCTTTCCAATCCTAACTATTCTATGATTCTATGATTGAGTGCACTGTCAGCAAGTTTGCAGCTGACACAAAGCCAAATGGTGCAGTTGGCACACCTGAGGGATGGAAAGATAATATGGACCTGTTGGAGAGGGTCCAGAGAAGGGCCACAAAAATAACCAGAGAAATGGAGCATCTCTCCTGTGAGGAAAGTCTGACAGGGTTGGGGTTGTTCAGCTTGCAAAAAGAAGGCTCTGGGGAGACCTTATTGCAGCCTTTCAGTTCTTAAAAGGGGCCTACAGGAAAAATGGGGAAAGACTTTTTAGCAGGGCCTGTTGTGATAGGATAAGGGGTGATGGTTTTAAACTAAAAGAGGGGAGATTCAGGCTGGATGTGAGGAAAAAATTCTTTACGATGAAGGTGGTAAAATACTGGCGCAGGATGCCCAGAGAGGTAGTGGATGCATCATCTGTGGAGACATTCAAGGTCAGGCTGGACGTGGCTCTGGGCAGCCTGGTCTAGCAGGAGGTGTCCCTGCTCCTAGCAGGGGGGTTGGAACTAGATGACCTCTGAAGGTCTCTTCCAACCCAAACTATTCTGTGATTCTATGATAAACAGGCTTTACTCGGCAACGCCGCTAAGACCCGTCCCTGTCAGGGCAGCGGGGTGGACGAGAGCCGGAATGCTGAGGCCCTCCCGTGGCCGCAGCCTCGCAGGCTCCCCTGGCAGGGGGAAGCCCGCCCTTCTGAGCGGTGCTGGCCGTGCCCTCCCGCTGCCACACCGTCCGAGCCACCCCTCGAGTACCGGCTCCTCTCAGCGCCACGCAGGGAGGAGCGCGGGGATGTAACGGCCAGGGGGCGTGCGGCAGCAAGGGTGACGGACAGACACCAAGGGGCGGGGCTTGTATGGGTCCTTCCGACGTGGAGGAAGTGCACGCAACAGCGCGATGAGGTCAGACGTCGCAGGCCGGGGCGGGCTGACGGCGGCGCGGGGCAGTGAAGGAGGAGGCGGTGGTGGGCCGAGGCGGCCGCTGGGGCCATGGCGCACCGTTACTTGCTGCTGGCACCGGGCAGCTTCCGGCGCCGGGGCCTGCCTGGGGTCCTGCTGCAACAGCTGCTCTGCGGGAGGGGTCTGCGGGGGGCGAGGCCCTGCCTGGCGCAGGTGAGGTGCAGGGTACGGGCCCAGTCGGCCCCTCCTCCTCCTGTTAGCCGTAAACGAGGGATGGGGGGACGAGGGAGGGCCTTGGTTGCCGTGGTGATGGGCGGAGCGGCCCCTCCGCTGCCTAGAATCCCGGGGTGGGGGTTAGCCCTCTGCTGCCTGTGGCCGAGGGCTCTTCGCTTCTCCCCGTGGCCTTCCGCGGCTCTCCACCTCCTACCTGCTCACGCTTGCCCTTCCGGGCGGCGGGTAGCGGGGGCCTGTGGTTGGGCGTGAGTGCGGCATCTCCTGGGTCGGAAGCGGCACTCGGGCGCCGTCCGGGAGTATATGCGGAGCGGCCGGAGGACAGCCGTTGTTGAGAGAGGGTGAGTCGACAGCCGTGAGCTGCTGTGCACGCTGCCGGTATCGCTGGGCTGCCAGCGGGTGTTCAGGTGATGTGGCCTACCTGGCTTCCCCCTTCTCAGTACGTCCGCTCGTGGAGATTAGGGGTAGGTGGGTTTGGGGTTACCCGCACCCACCCTCTGTGCTGTGGGCTGCCGATTCATTTGAGAGTTTGGGTTGTCAGTGAGTGCAAGGGCAATGTGTTGGAAAAGAGAAGGCAAACGGCCGGTTGTTGGCGGTGCCCGGTGAAGTAGCAGTGTGGTTTTGTCTGAACCAGCTGTTCTAATATTAAACGATAAATTGTGGTGGCTGGGTATTCATTCTTAGTGAAATGGTTTAGACTGCCATATGTTATAAGATTGTCCTGAGTTCAGCTGTAACATTTTTCTGCTTCCTAGTAGCTGGTGCAGTGCTGCATTTTCGACTTCAGTCTAAGAGCAATGTTGATAACACACCGATGCTTTTAGTTGTTGCTAAGTACAGTTTACCCCGACCAAGGACTTTTGAGTTTCTCATGCTCTGCCAGTGAGGAGTGGCACAAGAAGCCAGGAGGAAGCAGAGACAGGACACCTGACCCAAACTAGCCAAAGGGGGATTACATACCACAGCACATCATGCCCACTGTATAAACTGGGGGGAGTTACCCTGAAGGCCCAGATTGCTGCTCCGCTCAGGCTGGGTGTTGATTGGCAGGTGCTGAGCAGTTGTAATATGCATCACTTATGTTTATCGTTTTCCTTTTCCCTTTTTAGTTTTACATTCTCTCACCTTGTTCCATTGTCATTATTATTAGTAGTAATAATAGTAGTGGGATTATAACTAAAGTATAATACTTTAGTTACCAGACTGTTCTTATCCTAACCTGTGGGATTTATATTCTTTTGATTCTCTTCCCCATCTCTCTTGGAGTTGGGGGGAGGGAAGAAAGAGGGGAGTGAGAGAGTGGCTGCATGACTCGAAGTTACTGGCTCAGCTTAAACCACAACAAAGATATGTGTTACCCTTGTCAACCCAGTATCAGAGGATTGACAGACCTATGCTACTGCCTAAGAAAAAGGAGGTACATAATTCCTGCATCTTTCCATGGCATCTTGGGCAGGTTTCTGCATTTTTCTATAGCATATAGTGGCAAACAGTTGCACCTTTGTAGGTATGAAGGCTATCACTAGGCTAGTGGTAGTTGTAGGATGAATGCCCATAAGGGTGTTAGTAACTTAGTCCTAAGTATGAATATATGTTTTGGTTTCAGAGTTGTACTTGTGGTTTTGTTTTTTCAAAGCTTTTTATTGCAAGAGTAAATAAAACACTGTTAGCAGTATTGCTAATCTGTCAGTACGTTAATTCTCAGTTGTGTCAATAAAATGTAATGAGTTCTTATTTGTAATGGAACATAAGACCTATGAAGGGAACTTTGTATTCATCCTAGCATCTGTGTGTGTGTCCAGGGAGCAAAACAAGGAGCTTCATTTTCATAAAAGCCTTTTTAAAATCATCTTACTTAAAGTAACTTGCATTAAGTTAGATTTCTTTACCAGCTTTCTGTCCCTCCTCCCCCAACATGCTGTTATGTATTTTGATAATTAAGATTTTTTTTTGGTTTAATTTTATTTTGTTTGATTTGGAACTTGTTTATGGATAAAGCTGTAAACTTACAATTTTATAGAGTTGATGAATTCTTGGTCTTTTGCTCACATAGCTAAACAAGTGGGTTTTTGGTCTAGCTTTGTGTAGCCTCAGTTTTAAAAAAAATGAATTACAGTTACAAAATTTTTGTAAAGTCAGTAGTTCTGACTGTTTAAAATTATCTGTATTATTCAATATTGGAATTGTGGAGAAGGCACTTTTCTGCAGTTACAGATCTTGGGTTTATATTTCACTCTGGAGTAGTAACATTTTCTGGGTTATTTTGTACTTTGCTTGTCTTGATCATAATAGAAAGAAGTCTTGACTTTTAGGAAGATGTCCCAGGGTTTGACTGGGAAAAGATATTAGATAGGGGTTGGGTCTTTTTTGCTTTATATGCTGTCATAGTTCTTTCACCTCTGACTGAGAGAAGGTGGGCAGAGTTGCCTGGTGGATAGTTTGAAACAGCACCAAATCAAAATGTGCTTTGCTTTCTTTCTCTCTGCTTAGGCAGTGGGTCTGCCTAGCTAAGCTTGCTGTGGCATTCCCCTTGCCAGGGATACAGGACAGGTCCTGTGTCAGGATCAATATGATCAGTTTTCATGCTGATGTTTTATAGAGACAAAACCAAACAAAAACCTCCAACCAACTGAAACCTAAGCAGTTGTTACCACCTTAACATAGTTCTAACAACTTTGTCATTTGTGGAGTGCTGTGGTGAAAGGAAACCGCATGTTTCTGTAGACCAACTCACCTAGATCTGTCAGTAGCATCAACCAACTCTAAACCACTGACCTCTCTGTGTGTTAACTTTGCAGGTTACTCTGCATTTATTAATGGCATTTAGGGTCTGTAGAGACAATCCAGCAATAAACCAGTTAGATTATTCAGGTGTGTCCCAAAGCTCTGTCTGCTTACCCTTCTCTGTCTTCTTCCCCCTTCACT